CAAAACCCCAGAGAGTAGGACAGGCTGCCTGGGCAGGTTGTGAAGGAAGGGTTCTGTCACTTGATCCCTTTTATCCCTTGAGTAGGAAAGAACTTGGCACACAAAAAACGGTAAATGAAGGAATGAACGTATAAATGTCCTAGTGGTCATTTGAAAAGCGGCATTTCATTATTGACCCATTAGGCACTGAAATTTGTATGCCTCCATTAAAGATAGAATACTATGATCCTATCAATTCTCCGCTGAAATAGTAAAATCATTAAGGGAACGTCAAGAAGGAAATAAGCAAGGGAGACATTTGAGCTCACTGGTTGGGAAAAATGGGTGGTGGTATGAGTAAACGTAAGAATATCAGTGGTTAAGAGCATGAACTGCTCAACTAGAGGACCCTGATCTGATTCTTAGCACCCATATGGTGGCTCACAACCATCTGTAACTGTGATTCTAGATAATCAAACTCCCTCTTCTGGCTTCTGTTGGTGCACATACAAGTAAAGTGCATATACAAACACATAAAAATTATGAAAATTCAAAATGTATTTTTGTTTCAGTGTTAAGATATAAGACGGAATTAGAAACTTCAGTTATCTTTCAAATGAATCAAAAGCCCCCAAACCCCCAACTTAAGTATATAACATCATTAGAATGTAAGATCGTCTTAATTCTAGCAAAACCACCATCTCCTTGAGTGGTGATTGATAATGGTGAAGGTTAATGTGAAAGAAGAAGGCATGAAATTCTACCTGAGCATCATTCATAATAAATTGTACTCTGTATGAAACATGGAACATATTGCTCAATAGTAATATTCAAAACATTGTTCATTATTATTATTTTATATCACTGTACATAATGACACGAAGTACCACTGTTTTAAGTCTGGAGCAGAAACTGTCATTCAAATGGAGTTACAGACCATATATATATATCAGTATCCTGCAATGTAATGAGGTACCGCAGGGCAGTTCAGCATCCATGGATGCTTGGGAAGAATACCAACTCACAGGCCTACTTCATCAAACATTTCTAAGGTGCTTCCTAGGAATCTGTGTTCTAATCAACTCTCCGTTTGGCTGTCAAACATGCTTGACTTTGAAATCATTTGTATATTGCATTAGTTGCTTTTCTGTTCTGTAATAAAAAGACTATGACCAAGGCAACTTAGAGAAGAAAGACTTTAATTTGACTTACAGTTCTAGAGGGCTAGAATTCATAATGGCAGGACAGAGACTGCTTGCAGGATGATAGATAGAGCAGGATGCTGAAAGTTCACATCCTTGATGTTTTTTTTTAATGTGAATATGTCTTTTGCCTGCATATATGTCGATAGACCACATGTGTACCTGGTGTCCATGAAGGCCAGAAGAGGGCATCAGATACCCTAAAACTAAAGTTACAGATGGTTGTGAGCCACTATGTGGGTGCTGGGAATTGAACCCAGGTCCTCTGGAAGAACAGCCATGTGTTCTTAAGCACTGAACCATCTCTTAAACTTTTAAGAGCTTATCTTTGAAGTAATAAGGGTGGCGGCGCTGTGTCCCCAGCACCCCAGCCGCCTGCCCAGCTAGCTTATGCCCCGAAATAATTACACAGACACTGTATTCTTTTAATCACTGCTTGGCCCTTCTGCCCTAGCCCTTACTGGCTAATTCTGATATCCCGATCAACCCATCTCTAATAATCAGTGAGCACCGGTCTTACCAGGAAGATTCTAGCCTAGTCCATCCTGGGTCGAGCTTCATGGCGTGTGTCTGCCTGGGAGCTGGGAGTATGGCGTCTCCCTGAGGCGTCTGCTCCCGAGAGAGCTGTGGAGTCTCTGACCTCACTTCCTCTTCCTCCCAGCGTTCTGTTCTGTTTACTCCTCCCACCTATCCTCTAACTAATAAAATGGGCCAGGGCAGTGCCTTTATTAGCCAATGACCTTCCTCCATCATTTCCCCTTTTTCGGTTTAAACAAAAAAAAAAAAAAGCTTTAACTTTAACATAGCAAAATTACATATAACAAAACAGTTATCAAGTAAAAGTTACAATAATCTTTATCATAACTAAGGAAAACTATAACTATAACTAACTATTCTTAACTCCATCAAAGACTCCAGAAAGATACAATACTACCTAAGCAAACAAGAAAAAAGCAACTTTTAAAACTCTAGAAATGACAGAGACATCTCGCTGCCTGGACAGTCACCCAAAGTTCTTCTGTACCGTTGGGGCATCCATCTTCAGCCTTTAGGCCCATGGTATCCAGCAGACATTTCCATATAGCAGGAAAATTCAAAGTCAATTCATTCACTATCTGTTGTGTCCTGCAGAATGTCTCGCAGACTCTTTCATGAATCAGGAACCCCGAAAGATCATCTCACCTTAGGCAAGTTCAGTAGTCCTCTCTCTGCGGGTTCTCTGTGTCCAGTTTATGCAATAGTCCAGGCAAGAGCAGTTTCTTGCCCAAATGGCTATCCAACTCCATAAGGTGCCTCTTCGATGCCCATCTTCCTCTTGAAGTACATTGGTGCTGCCAGGAGCAGAGTGTCTCATTGTCATGAAAATTCCTAAGTTATTAAAACATTAAATGTCCTATTCTGTAATCTTTGAAAGACATGAAGAATGTCTATCTAAAATATATCTCTATATATCTAGAAAATCTAACTAACATGACTACAAGCTTTACTATTATCGATGATTATCCATTAACAACCTATATATATTACATTTTTAAATGAACTACACAATCACAACACCTTAATCAATATCAGAAATACATATACATATAACAAAATTGACCTTAAATCTCTATCAATAAAGCAAAATCTATACTAATGCAAATTATTCATATCTATATCATATCCCCCTTTAAATGTAAAAGAACGTTTATAAACCATATTTGGGAACATGGGCGCAGTTTTTTCTCTCCAAACTGCTTCCTGCTGAATGGGGGCGTCGTTAATTAGGTCTTTCATGGTATAACCTGTGTGCTAGCTTCATCTCAGTTGGCAGTTGAGCAAAGCAATTTTTTGAAGGCGTGCACAGGAACCATTCAGGAGGGCGTGGTCCATCATACCAAATCGGAATAGAAGAAGTGAACAGCGTCTCATCCTCTGTGAAAACAAAATAAGAAACTCCTTTCCAAAGTATCATATCCTTATATCCAAATTTATAATATCTATGTTAGATTAGTTTAGCAGCATTTATAAATAAATATCTTTTAGCATCTGTTGCTGCTTCCTCAGCATTTAAATAATTTAAAGAGAGCATAATAGCATACAGTATCAAAATTCTCTGTGTATTTTCCATCTTTGTGCAGCTTTGTTTTAACCTCTATTTCGTTTATTTTTACTTTTAACTTTTTGCTTTTTGAGACAGGTTCTCTGTATCTTTGACCTGAAGTAACTCTGTAGATCAGGCTGTCTTTGAACTCTCAGAGATCTGCCTGTCTCTGCCTCCCAGGCATTTGGGATTAAAGGTGTACACTACTACACCTTGAACTCACAGAGATCTGTTTGTCTCTGCCTTCTAGGCACTGGGATTAAAGGCATGTGCTACCACACCTTGAAGTCACAGAGGTCTATCTCCCTCTGCCTACCAAGTGTTGGGATTAAAGGTGTGTACCACACACAACAACTCTTTTCCTTTTTTTTTGTTACTTTAAGAACTTCAACTTTTAGTCTGCATATATTTTTAACACACTGTAAACCATTTAAAAATTTTCTTTGTCTTTGAATCTCTCTTTACTGTATATCTCTCTTTTTCTGACCACATGAATCTTTAATTTACCAAGCAATATCAGTAGGATTAAAGGCGTGGCTTTGCCAGCTAGATCCAGTCCATTCCTTAGCTTTCCAGCCTCATGGCGGAAACTGTTACTGCCACAACTGTATGGTATTTCAAGGTCCCTGCCAGCCAGCTAGCTACAACAGACAACACTCAAGTCCTCTCTCGGTAGCCGGCCCTCCTGCCTCCAACAGTCAGAGTTTGCCCTGGCAGGACAGCCCAGAAAGCTGGCATTTTTAAACGGCGCAGCTTTTTTCCTGCTACGGCTGAAAACCGAAAAGCATGCGTTCAGCTTTTCGTCAACACCGTTTAAGTGTTTCATGGCAGGACCTCTTAATGAGCTGCAGGCTTTGCAGCTAAAGCTGAGTCAGGAAGCCTCTCTTAGATGAGGTGCTTGCTTGCCTCTAGCAAGCAGAGTAGAACCGAGAAATTGTTGCTACCAAGAAACCAGGCACAATGCTTACATTTTGTTCTAGAATTACTTCCCAAGCTGTCTCAGGCTTTATGTGGAAGCAGTTGTCCACGTGGGCGCCATATGTAGTAATATGGGGCGGCAGGGCTGCGTCCCCCACACCTGGCCGCCCACATGGCTAGCTTATGCTCCGAAATAACAACACACAAACTGTATTCTTTTAATCACTGCTTGGCCCATTCTCTTCTAGGCTAATTCTCACATATTAATTTAGCCCATTCCTAATCATCTGTGTGTAGCACCCCAAGGTGCGCTTACCGGGGAGATTCTAGCCTAGTCCATCCTGGGTCGAGCTTCATGGCGTGTGTCTGCCTGGGAGCTGGGAGTATGGCGTCTCCCTAAGGCGTCTGCTCCCGAGAGAGCTGTGGAGTCTCTGACCTCACTTCCTCTTCCTCCCAGCGTTCTGTTCTGTTTACTCCTCCCACCTATCCTCTAACCAATAAAATGGGCCAGGGCAGTGCCTTTATTAGCCAATGACCTTCCTCCATCATATCTTGAACTGCAAGCAAGAAGCAGAGAGAGCAAACTACAAATAAAGCCTGCCCCCATTGACATAATTCCTCCACCAAGGCCACACCTCCTAAGCTTCCCCCAAACAATGCCACAAACTGGGGACCAAGTATTCAAACGCTGGAGAGCTTTCTCATACAGAGGCAAATGTACACAGATTCCTGTTCTTGGAAGGATATTTAATTATCACACTTGTGCCAACAGAGACAAAGTGAGTTCTTAACAAATCATCTTTTCAGTTCTGCTCCATCTTTACACACAAGACACACCCTTCCCAAACTGCAATCTAGAAATGGATGTCTACCATAACCTGGGGAGTAGTACATAAAACATAGCACAAGCAAAATGAACAATTCGATCAAAATTTCAAGGAAATACCTTGTTTTCTCCCTTTTTAGTAACTAATGTAAGAGATAAACAACACATCAGACATTATTAACTAGCTAAATCACATTGTGCCTTTCTACTTCCCTAAAAAAGAGTGAGAGGGTTGGTCAACGTTTATACTCATTCCCTTCAGTATTCCAAAGTTTCTCTTCATGGTTTATCTTGTTCCCGAAGTGGTTCGATGGCAGATAGGAGCTGCTGAAATGTGGGCCGCTTTTCTGGAAGCTAAACAAAAGAGAACCCTGAAGTGTTAGATAATCAAAGTTTTCATTCAAAGGAACAATATTGGGGCCGGGGGTGTGACTCAGCTGGCAACGTGCTTGCCTGGCATGCAGGACACCCTAGCTTTGGTTCTCTGCACCACGTTAACCAGGTGCGTGGCACACATCTGTAATCTGAGGATTTGGGAGGAAGAGGCAGGAGGATCAAATGTTCAAAGTCTTTCCCAGCTATTCAGCAAGTTTGAGGCCAGCCTGGGCTACATGAGACCCTTACTCAAAAATTTAAATGACAAACAACAATATAGGGTTGAGGTGGGTAAAAGCACTTGCCCTACAAGTTCCAATTTTCAAAACTCACATAAAAGCCAGCTATGTGACAAGAGTCTCTGTGATGTCAGCCCTCCTATGGCAAAATGGGAATTGGAGGCAGGAGGATGCCTGGGAACTCACAGGTCAACTTGTTTGGTATATACAACAGCAAAGGAGATTCTGTATCAAGCAAGGTGGATGGTAAGGACTGACACCAGACACAGACTTACCATGGCAGCAGAATACCTACATTCACAATGCACACACACACACACACACACACACACACAAACAAACAATATATAAAACACTCATACTTCAGTCCTAATGTGAGTGACATTCTTTTTCGTTTGAGAGAGGGTCTCACTGAGTAGCCCTGACCTGGAATTTGATATATATAGACTAGGCTGACCTCAAACTTATAGAGATTTGCTCTGCCCCTGCCTCCTAATTGCTACAATTCAAGGAACGTGGAATGTGTACCACACTCACTGATAGTGCCTTTTGAAATGTGGAAACACCATAGACCTTTCCACGGAGATTAGGAATAAGGCAAGTGTGACTTCTGTATTCACTATTCTTAAGATCATGTTGAAATTACTCATCCGTGCACCCAGAAAGCAAAAACCAGACCCAAGAATTAGCAAAGGAAACATAATTATATGCTGAGAAATAAAAGAGGACTAACTACAGACTTCCATGAAAAAGAAAGGATTTTGATAGGTGGGCAGGGTAAAAAAAATAACAAATAAAATTAAATATCCAAAAGTAACCAGTCTGAAAATATGATGGAAGGGAACACATCATTTATAACAGAGGCAATACCAAAATCAGATTCTTAAAAGTGAACCTCCAAACAAGGAAAAAGTTGAAAAGGTACACATGAAGATTGTAACATATATTGAGAAACAACTCTCCTTTGCCCTCCAGCAGGGCATGTCAGTGTCATGGAGATGCAGAATGTCTCCAGTTAACATAAAAAGGAAATACAGTCTTAAGGATGTGAATGGGTTTCTCTTAAGCTAGATGAATTTATTTCACAGATTATGAATTTGTGAAATAGCTAGGAAGCTGTAAAGTACAATAAACTATAATACATGATACTTTAACATTGCAGAATACTTCACTTGCTATGTGCCAGGGTATAATTAAGATAGTATGGTGCTGGCATAGAAAGACTAGACCACAGAAGAGGAAGTTCCAAAATAAATCACTATTATTCTGCATGGAAACGTAGGATAATATTAGCACGGCCTCTCACTGCTGTTAAGGTGGCGCCTTATCTCTTGATGGTCTTTTAGCAAACAGTGCTTCCAACAACTGGACAAACATTATAAAACTGTATGCATAGTTCATGCTATTTATAAGAAACACAATAGAATAAAAATAAATATTTCTAAAGTTTCATTTTCGTACTGCTCAAGATGTTTCAACAGCTCCACAATACATATAAAACTCGAATCTCTCTTCCTTTTCCTCCCTGTCCTCCTCCTCTTCCTCTTCTTCAGGGTACACAACCTCGAGCAGACTTATTTATTTTCAGTCGTTCCGACAACAGCTCTAGCTGAGAACAGTGTGCCTGCGGCCAGCTTCCACACCTTTGTGTGGTGCTGTTCTCATTAGGACACACTTGGGCACCATCTCTATGCACATACCGAGGGAAGTTTGAGGAGAATTCCCAATTTGGCTCAGACACCAGTGCATTCAGGAAGCTGCTCTCCTTTCTATGAGCTACATGTTCCTTTCTGTTTTATTTTTTTCATTTGGGAACATAATTATGATCTTCTTGATGTTTGCCGCACAGCCCCCTACCCCCACACAGTGTGTGTACATGTGAGAAGACTTTGGGGTCAGTAAAGGAAATAGTGGAACCTCAGACCTGACAGCCCCAGTTAGTTGTTTAAACATCAAAGCTAAAGCTATTTGTGATGGAATTGCCTCCATTTTAGGCCCACATCCACTTCAAGTTATTTGGTGCTTTGGGCACTCGAAGGTGGGGTGGGGGGAAGAAGAAGAAGAAGAAGAAGAAGAAGAAGAAGAAGAAGAAGAAGAAGAAGAAGAAGAAGAAGAAGAAGAAGAAGAAGAGGAAGAAGAAGAAGAAAAAGAAGAAGAAGAAGAAGAAGAAGAAGAAGAAGAAGAAGAAGAAGAAGAAGAAGAGAAGAGAAGAAGAAGAAGCCGCCTTTCAGGTGCTTTGTGTATGTGATTAGATGTTGCTATCATGCAGCTTTGGGTTGAGCAGAGATTTTATAGTTTTGTTAAGAGTGAGGCCTCAACCCCACGCAAAAATCTCTAGGTAACTGAGGAAAGCTGGGAGTGGGAGGGGCGGCCTTCCCCAGGGAAGAGCACACCAATTGGTTGCCAAACAGTCAGCCCTGAAAACATACATACAAGCAACTTTACATGACTAAACAGGTTATATTTAAGACTGTATATGTATATACATATACATATGTGCATGTAATAACAATAAGTGGAAGATGAAGCCATGAATTTGAAGGGGGATATATGGAAAGATGTTGAGGGAGGAAAGACAAAGGAGAAATGTAATTATAATCTCAAAAACAAAAACAAAAGCAAGATAGCTGGGAAGTGGTGGTGCACACCTTTAATCCCAGCACTCAGGAGGCTGAGGCAGGCAGATTTCTGAGTTTGAGGCCAGCCTTGTCTACAGCCCGCGTTCCAGGATAGACCAGGGCCACACAGAGAAACCTTCTCTAGAAAAATAAAACAAACAGAGCCAAACTAAACCAACCAACCAAACAACCAAACAAACAAATGTTAAAAAAAGAAAAAAAAATAGTGAAGACACTGGCAGCAGCCAGGCTGCCTCGGTAATAACTGTGTGACTTCAGGTAAGCTACTTAACCTCTCTGGGTTCCTATTTCCTCACCCTATGCACTGGGGTGGTTTCTGATGAGCTCATATTTATAAAGTTCTTACAACAGTGCCATCGGTTCTTCAGTAAACTGTCAACTGCCTTGATTTTTTTTTACGATTTATTTATTTATTTATTTATTGACTTTCTGCCAGGATAGGGTGTCAGATCCCACTACAGATGTTTGGGAGCCACCATGTGGGTGCTGGAAATTGAACTCAGGACCTCTGGAAGAGCAACCAGTGCTCTTAACCATTGAGCCATCTCTCCAGGCCTTGATTTTTTTTTTTTTACATTATAAACAAACATGATCCAGAGCCGCTCCCAACTTCTCTGTGACAGGCACTTTCCCTCACCTCCAGCGAACCCCCCCCCCGCAAGCCCAGTTCTGGCCTGCTTAGGGGGTATACTTGCCTCATGCCAGCAGCTGTACATGATTTGGTAGATGGTGTCGGATGCCAGCTGGGGCCGGTAGAGTCTGTGGCCCTGGGAGACCTTCACAACCACCTCGGAGTTATCATATAAGTCATAGGGTTGCTTCCCCAGACTAAACACCTCCCACATCAGGATCCCTGTAGTGCATCCGGGGACAGCCCCAGCAGACAGAAAAGAAAGAGTGCCAGTGTCAGAAGGCCCAGGGCTTGTGGAAGGAACTTCCTATCACAGGACCAGAAGGCCATGAGCTGGAGCAAGGGATTTCTGGGAAACAAGGCCTAGTGAAAAGGGGAGGGCATGGGGGCATGGATGGTGGGCTTTGAGTATCACTTCTGCAGTCTAGGTGTTCCTGTATTTCTTCAGACCCATCCCCCACTCCATGCACTCAAGGCTCGCCTGCCCATCCTCTCCAAGGGACACAGAGGCTAAACCAGTGCTTCTCAGTCTTCCTAATGCTGTGCCCTTTAATAAAGTTCCTCATGTTATGATGACCCCCCCCAACCATACGATTAGTTTCATTGCTACTTCATAACTATAATTTTGCTACTGTTATGAATCATAATGCAAATATCTGATATATAGGATAGCTGATATGTGACCCCTGTGAAAGGGTTAGTCGACCCCCAAAGAAGTCGAGAACCACTGCTTTAAACAATTAGCCAGGTTCAAAACCCTGGACAACACACATATTCAGAAAGAAGACAATTGCTCTCAAACGCCAAACTTTGAGTTATAGGCTACAGAGTTTATGTAAACTAAGCAGTCTTCCGCTTTGTGATGTTTCTTCCTTTAAACACATATTCTAAACCAGTTCCACAAAAGAGTGAGACTCCCTCCCAACTCTCTCTTGGTAAGGTTGCTCATGCATTCCAAGCCTGGTAGCACCACATAAAATAACTGGGGGAGGGAGGGTTTTCTTTGAGAGGGGCTTTCAGAAGCCCCAATTCATTTTGAATATCCATAGCAGGAGTAAATGGTTTAAGAATAGATTTACTATCTGTCCACAGCCGGAAGACAACTGCAACTCGATTGTTTCATGAGGTGGATTATCAGGTTGGGCAATGCTGCCTCCAGTCAAAAACAAGTTGTAACTATTGAATGAGGTTACAGATTTCAAGAATACTAGTCAGAAGGCATATCAGTTGGTACATAGATATGAAACTAGTCTTGACAACAAGGGCCAAACTTAACCAAAAAGCAATATCTGTGTTACTTTGCCTTGTGGGATGCCCATGTGGTTACCTTTATACTTTTTGAAAGGGAATATTTATTTCTAATGTCTAGTTGGAACAGAAAAATAAACTGATAACTAAAGTTTTATTTCCCCAAGTGGTCTTGCGTGTGTTACATGGTAAATGAAATTGCACTTATGGACTAAGACAAGCTTGAAATATTTCTTGGTTATATTTGTTCTACCTTGTTATTTGTCAAGAATTTGACTTACTTATCATGGACCCACCAGACAGTTGTTGAGAACAGTCATGATTCTATTGACATACTTTTAAAAACCCCAATTTTAAAATATAAATATAAAATTTATAATATATTTATAAAAATATAAATATAAAATATAAAAAATAAATTTAACTTTTAAAAACTCTGACAATTGACAGAATCACAACTTACACAATTTTTTTTTACTGTTTCATAATCACTTCTACAGAATTTGGCTTGTCTTCTTTTGTTTTTGTTAGTTTGTCTGTTTTTGCAGTGCTAGGATCAAACCAGGGCCTTGAACACCCAAGGCAAATGCTTTGCCTCAGAGTTATACTGCTGACCCAACCAACACAACTAATCAAACTTTTGCTATTGTCCTGAGACAGGTCTTGTTAAGTTCCTCAGCCTGGCCTAGAACTCATGATCCTCCTGCCTCAGCACCTGAGGCCCAGGACTACAGGTGTGTCCTCTCATGTAGCTTGAGAGAGTAAATTTTAATCTAAACATTTTAAGAAAATAGTGGGTATCAAATTTCTATAGAAATATGAGATGGTAAGTATCTTAGACTGTGAGTCAAATGGTATCTGTGCCAATTACTTGCTCTGTTTTAGCTCAAAATCAGCCACAGACAACCTGGAAATGAATGGTCATGCCTGTGGTCAATAAAACTTTATTTACAGAAACAGGGCACCTAGTTTCGTCCAGGACTGTGGTTTCCCAAATCCTGATCTAAAACACTAATTTTAGCAAGATGACTTGAAACAAGGTAAGTGTGTTTGCTACGGTTTGGAGGCTTGACTCCCAGCCTGGTGCCTTTGAGGTGTGGGAAATAGAAGAGACCTTACAGTCCTGTGGAGAATTTCCTGAAGGGAAGATGAGACAGCAGCATCTCCTTGCTATCTCTCCTCTTCCTCTTGTTCACAAGGCGAGCAGCTTTGCTCCTGTCCCAGCCTCTGCTCTGTCCCTGAGCACCTCACCACAGACACCGAACAATGCGTCAGAGTGCAGACTGGAACCTTCAACACCATGTGCCAAACATATATCATTTCTTTTGCTAAGTTAGTTCTGCCAGGTGTTACTTAAAGGAAAGGAAAGAAGACTTACAAAGCCAAAGACAGCACAGGGTCAAGTCTACTATTTACATTAAGGGTTTCCCAAAGGCCCTGCCCATTAGAACCCATTAGAACAGTTACCATAGCTACCCTCATGCCCATAAACAGTGGTCTATATTTAAGTCTTCCAACCTTTGGACTGAGATTTAAATTTTAACGATTCCTTCACAAAACTCTCTGAGGCTAGAAGTGGTACACACCCGGAATCCTAGCTCTTGAGAGGCTAAGGAGGTAGGAGGAACATGAGTTTGAGCCTAGCCTGGGTTACATAACAAAACCCTGTTTGTTTGTTTGTTTGTTTGTTAAAAAAACAGAGCAAAACCATTTGAAAGTTTCATCGGAATAGCTCCTAAGTCCCTTGACTCTTCAGGCTTATGCTAACATGATGTAAATTATGGATGTGCATAAGACTTCCTAACACCGAACCCAAGGAAGGAAATGGCCTTTTTCAACCGCTTGCTTGTCTCACACCGCGTGTGGAATTTTGTAAAGACTCGGGCTTCTTTTTCAAATGGATGTTGCTGTCCTTGTGGTTTCCTGTTGTGGAAGCTGACTTATGAAATGGGGCTGGGTGCTGTGTGGTTACTTCCTTACCGAACGCCCATACGTCTGACTTGCTGCTGTATTTGAAGTAGTGAAACACCTCTGGGGCCGACCACTTGACTGGAAACTTGGTTCCTACTGAACTGACATACTGGTCATCAAGAACGTATCTGTAGGGAAACATCATCACAGACATTAAGACACACAGTGGGAAGACCTTTATTGGCCAGCATTGCCTCCATGGCCTACCCCCATCAGCTAGGCCAACGAAGGACATAGAACATCCATAGTCTGCTGAACGCTTCAGTTTTCTAGCTAATTTTTTATTTGTTCTGTTTCTCTATTCCTGAGACAAGGTCTCGTGATCTCCTGATCTTCTTCCTCTACCTCCCAAATGCCAGCATTGTAGAAAGAAAAGCTGTTTGGGGACATCACTGGCTCACCTTGTCATTCCAAAGTCTGAGACTTTCACAGAGAGGTCACTGTCCACCAAACAGTTCCGAGCAGCCTTGGGAGGGAAAGCAAAATCTTCAAGTGGTAAAAGCAACCAAGAATCTCCTCATATCAAAGACTCAGCCATTTTCTTCTCCTCAGCTTCATTTTCAGCCAAACCCAACACAGCCTATCACAACCCCAATTACTCAGAAAGATTTTTTTAAAAATCCCCTGGAATTTTCAATTTTTCAAAATGAAAACGCGCTGGCATAAGTCTGTCTACCCAAGCATCTGAACTGATTGACAATATACTTGAACACAGAATCTCAGCTCAGCAAGGAGAGAGCCTTCCAGTAAGTAGATCCTGTGCATTCTTAGATGCTCGGAGTTGTGCACACTACCCCCAGGACTTAGGGGATGCATTGGCCGGGTGTGTGCAGGATGCTCGCTTTTCAGCAAAGAAAATCTCTGAAGTTAAAGGCCAGTGCATACCAAACAGTACTCAGAACTCTCACACCAAGCCAAACACACACTTCCCTTTCCGTCTAATTCTTTTGTATTTTCAGTTATTATATCAAGTCGCCGCTTTAGCACTAAACTCTTTTTCAGAGTAAAGGTTAGCTTCGGTTTAGTGGCCTTGAGAAACAGTGAACTGACCCACGTCTTTCCATCTGTTCTTCACACCACAGCGCAGGTAGCTACAGAGATCCTCATGCCTCACTTGACTCTGACCTTCCCGAGTTTCAAATATTTCACTAAGATGGTGATCTTTCGATTGTAAAACTATTACATGCTCACAGGAGTAAAAGCAAGGAATCCATCCCTCTTTGTCAGACCTCTCAGCGGCCCTATCCCTGGACGAGGGAACTGCGGGCTACGTCCTCTTACGTCATCCACCTGCCGGAGGCTTGCCTTACCAAATCCCGATGTATGAACTGGTGGCTCTCCAAGAAGGCCATGCCTTCACAGACATCGTAGCACATTTCCAAGAGCTGGGAGGTTTCCAGTCCCTTCCCATGACTCTTCAGGTAACTAAGCAAGCAACCGTTGGTTATATACTCAGTTACTATGTAGATGGGGTATTTCTTCGAACATACTCCATAGAATTTAACCAGCTTGGGATGGCTGAGTTTCCTGTAAAAGAATAGGTTTGTAAAGTTCATTTTCAAGATGGCTTGGCCAAGGACGAACAGATTCTCATCCCCTCTACCTGAACAGAGAAAGAGAGCTGGGAGCTTCAGATTTTGTTCGAACAGGACAATTTTTGGAGGCACGAAAGGAAACAGTGTTCTTGCCTCAGATCTGATACTGGCGGCCACTCTGCAGCGCACTCAGTCTGGACATGCTGTGTTCGCCTCTACCCCCAAAAATCAGGATAGTGGCGTGGGTTGAAGTATTATAATTTGAAGGGTGTAAATACAACATAAAATGTGAAGTGAGACTTCACATAATCTCTCTTTTTTATATCTTTTTTGGTTCTATCTTCCTTTTTTGATTTTTAAAAAATGCTGGTGTGTGTGTGTGTCTGTGTGTGTGTGTCCATTTGCATGTATGTTTCTGTGTGGAGGCCAAAGGACAATCTCAGATATCATCTTCAGAAAGGCCACCGATCTCCTTTGAGATGGGGTCTTTAACTGGCCTGAAACTTGCCAGACAGCATAGGCTGACTGGTCAGTGAGCCTCAGGAGTGCTTCTGTTTCTGCCTCCCCATAGCTTGGATCAATTTTACAGATTACAGTACTTTTTAATGACAAAAATGCATTTTAATATTTTACCAGAGACACCAGCTATACCATGTACCCAAGAAAGTTTTTTTTTTTTCAGAAAAAGAATTTTACACTCTATGAAAGGAGCTTTCTTTAGTTTTCTATAACAGTTTTGTTACCAAGGACAGAACCAGCCACATAATTTCTAGGTTCTGAGAAAAAATGAGAATAGGAAAAATAATTGCTTACAACTTAATTTGAGCAGCATGTGATAGCTCACACCTATATTTCATTGTACTTATGGGGGATTTACGGTGAAGTTGGGCTACACAGTAACTTCCAGGCTACCCTGGCTTATGAAGTGAAACTGTGCCGCAAAACCACAAACCAAAAAAGTATTATTATTATTTTTTACTCTGACCTTTCTAAAATTATTTTTTATTGATTTTTATTGAGCTCTACATTTTTTCTCTGCTCCCCTCCCTGCCTTTCCCCTCCCCTTCAACCCTCTCCCAAGGTCCCCATGCTCCCAATTTACTCAGGAGATCTTTTTCTACTTCCCATGTAGATTAGATATATGTATGTCTCTCTTAGTGTCCTCATTATTGTCTAAGTTCTCTGGGATTGTGGTTGGTAGGCTGGTTTTCTTTGCTTTATGTCTAAAAATCATCTATGAGTGAGTACATGTGATAATTATCTTTCTGTGTCTGGGTTACCTCACTCAATATGATGTTTTCTAGATCCATCCATTTGCCCACAAATTTAAAAATGATTTTTTTTCTGCTGTGTAAAACTCCATTGTGTAAATATACTACATTTTCTTTATCCATTCTTCAGCTGGGGAGCATTTAGGTTGTTTCCAGGTTCTGGCTATGACAAACAAAGCTGCTATGAACATAGTTGAGCACATGTCCTTGTGGCACAATTGAGCATCCTTTGGATATATACCCAAAAGTGGTATTGCTGGATCTTGAGGAAGGTTGTTTTCTAATTTTCTGAGAAATCACCACACTGACATCCAAATGGGCTGTATCAGCTTGCATTCCCACCAGCAATACAGGAGTTTTCCCTTTACCCCACGACCTCTCCAGCATAAGTTGTCATCAGTGTTTTTGATCTTGGCCATTCTTACAGGTGTAAGATGGAATCTCAGAGTTGTTTTGATTTGCATTTCTCTGATGACTAAGGATGTTGAGTGTTTCCTTAAGTGTCTTTCAGCCATTTTAGATTCCTCTGTTGAGAGTTCCCTGTTTAGATCTGTACTCCATTTTTTTTATTGGATTATTTGTTCTTTTGATGATCGTATTTTTGGGTTCTTTGTATACTTTGGAGATCAGACCTCTGTCTGATGTGGGGTTGGTGAAGATCTTTTCCCATTCTGTAGGCTGACATTTGTCTTGTTGACCATGTCCTTTGCTTTACAGAAGCTTCTCAGTTTCAGGAGGCCCCATTAATTAATTGTTTCTCTCAGTGTCTGTTCTGCTGGGGTTATATTTAGGAAGTAGTGTCCTGTGCCAATGTGTTCAAGTGCACTTCTCACTTTCTCTTCTATAAGGTTCAGTGTGGCTAGCTTTATGTTAAGGTCTTTGATCCATTTGTACTTGAATTTTGTGCGTGGTGATAGATATGAATCTATTCTTATTCTTCTACATGCTGATATCCAGTTATGCCAGCACCATTTGTTAAATATGCTTTCTTTTTTCCATTTGCTATGTTTTGCTTCATTGTCAAAAATCAGGTGTTCAAAGGTGTGTGGATTGATATCTGGGTCTTTGATTCGGTTCCATTGGTCCTCCTGTCTGTTTTTATTTCACTACCAGGCTGTTTTCAGTACTGTAGCTCTGTAGTAGAGTTTGAAGTTAGTGATTGTGATGCCTCCAGAAATTCTTTTATTGTACAGGATTGTTTTGGCTTTTTTTTTTTGCTTTTCCATATGAAATTGAGTACCATTCTTTCGAGGTCTGTGAAGAATTTTGCTAGGATTTTGATGGGCATTGCATTGAATCTGTAGATTGCTTTTGGTAAGATTGCCATTTTTACAATGCTAATTCTATCTACTCAAGAGTATGAGAGATCTTTTTACTTTCTGGTGTCTTCTTCAATTTCCTTCTTCAAAGTTTTAAAGTTCTGTCATACAAGTCTTCCACTTGTTTGGTTACAGTTATTCTAAGATATTTTATGCTATGTGTGGCTATAGTGAAGGGTGATGTTTCTCTGATTTCTTTCTCAGCCCATTTATCATCTGTATAAAGGAGGGCTACTGATTTTTTGAGTTAATCTTGTATCCTGCTACATTACTGAAAGTGTTTATGAACTGTAGAAGTTCCTTGGTAGAATTTTTGGGGTTGCTTATGTAAACTATCATATCATCATCAAATAGTGAGAGTGTGACTTCTTCTTTTCAAATTCGTATCCTCTTGATCTCCTTTTGTTGTCTTATTGCTCTAGCTAGGATCTCAAGAACCATATTGGATAAATATGGAGAGAGTGGACAACCTTGTCTTGTTCCTGATTTCAGTGGGATTGCTGGGAGTTTCTCTCCATTTAGTTTGATGTTGGCTGTCGGCTTGCTGTATATTGCCTTTATTATGGTTTAGGTATGTTCCTTGTATCCCTGCTCTCTCCAAGACCTTTATCATGAATGGATGTTTTATTTTTTCAAAAGCTTTTTCAGCATCTAATGAGATGATCATGTGGTTTTTATTTTTCAGTTTGTTTATGTGGTGGATTACGTTGACAGATTTTCATGTGTTGAACTATCCTTGTATCTCTGGAATGAAACTGACTTGATCATGGTGGATGATGGTTTAAAATGTATTATTTTACAAGAGTGAAAACAGAGCCACAAAGCAAGTACTGGAGGGACCTTGCTAATATGTGGTGACATGTCCTTGGTCGCTAATACATGGTGCCATGCCCACGAAGACAGCCCGGATGAAAGGCTCGTATTCATGTAGTATCTCTACTGAACAATTCCTCAGTTATGGGAGAAGCAATCATTGTAACTTCCCTGTCTCCTTTGATCTTTAAAATGTATCATCAAGGACATGGACACTGGAGGAAACGGACACCAAGGAAATGGACACTGGCCCTATAAAGATGTCTCTGAAAACTGTTGAATAGCTTTTTCAATAGATGTGGGTATATATGGCAAATAAATCCTTTCCTCCCCAAGTGGCTTTTGGTTACGGTCTTTCTCACAGTAATAAAAGTAGGTGGAATCTGTAAATTTCAACTCTTTTGTGTGTGTGGTGAAGGGTAGAAGTCAACCTTAGCTGTCACTTCCCAGGAGCCGTCGACCTTGTTTGTGAGACAGGGTCTCTCATTAAGACCTTAGATTCCTCAATTAGACAAGGTTGATTGGACAGTGAACTCCAGAGATCCACCTGCCTCCTCCTCCCCAATTCTGTGATTACAAGCATGAATCACTGCTTTTACATGGGCTCAAGGGATTGAACTCATGCTGCAAGGCCAGCACTTTACTGACTGAGCCATCTGACCAAGACCTTGATATAATACTTTTTGATCTTTCCTGATTAGTTTTCTAAAGGAGTGACCAGCCATGCTGCTTTACCTGGGTTAGAAGCATTTCTAAGGATGAAGGACTCACCCACTCGAGGACTGCCGAAGACCGTACTTGAGTCTGTTTCTTCAAGGGTGAGCCATGCTACTCCTAAGTGATACCATTGGCTAACACATAGTTGTTTGTGGGAGATGCAAGGGGAAATTAGATATACTGAGGGCTGTACCCACCCACACATAACTATTAAGGTCCTTTGTAGCACAGGGCAATGTTGTGAGCAGGAGAAAGATCAAAAGAAGAGAATTCAAAGGCACAGAGGCCAAAGGATGCTTTATCAATAGAGTCAGAAGTATTCTGACTTCAAACATGGCATTTCAAGGTGTTATGCAGGCCAACTTGTCAAATTAGGAGCATAACATTGATTTTATTTAACAGCTCGTTAGGCTAAACTATAAGTCTTAAATATTTGTAATTGCAACATAGGCCAGGCTTTGCAAATGTTAGGGAAAGGGACTGCTAATGTTGATGCTCTTCTGTGGAGAGTGAACAATCTCACTCCTGAGGAGAGACTTACATCATGGTCTGGGCCTCCTGAAAGAATTCATCTTCTGACATGGCGCCCTCCTTGATCATCTTTACAGCCACATCATACTGCCCCTTCCACTTGCCCAACTGGACCACTCCAAACTGGCCACTTCCCAGCTCCTTCAACAGGGCGATCTCTTCTCGTTTCAGTTCCCAAACTCCTAATTAAAGCAAGGCAGAAACTTTAGAAGTCATGTCAACAACTCACAAAGTGATTTCTTCTGTAATGAGCTTTTTGTGTCCACAAAATGAGGGCCACTAAGACATCATTTGGAGCAAAATCCTCAGTGAACTGATATCATGACCACATCACAGGAAAATGGAGTTTTCAAAGCAGCTGTAGTTCTTGACAGGAGTCAATTTTTTTTTGGTCAACTGGGGGTGTCTTGGAGAGAAACAATGTCAAAAATGTGCTTAATGTTCTTAGGTCTGTAAACTACTTTTAAATTTTTCATATAAAACAAATTAAACTGCGATCAAGGCCGATGTTATTACTCTACAGATAATGAGCTCCAAATAAGAGTAGACATAGAAGTCAAGAAAAAGGAAAGACAGGTAAGAGGTGCTGGGGATGAATGGCAATGTCTGTTAAGAATAAACATTTGAGAGTTATTTTTGCTAAAGCTGGGAAGATCACAGAGTTAGTTGTGGATAGCCGGTTTCAAAAAAATAAATGAATGAAATAAATTAGACTAAATTTCTCCCTGGTGCAGTCTGAGCAGGGACTTCTTGCTGTCATCCATAATGAGTCAGAATTGAATAACAGGTGTTTGAACCCCAAATGATGAGAAATGGAGTTTAAGAGCTCAAAGTTGTGTCCATACCACTTCCCAGAGCCACAGACATCGGGACCTTGTTGGCCTTGGTTGACACTGGGTGGCGGAGCCGTGTGATCATGCCTGCAATGGAATCAGCAGCAAAATGTCATGTTACCATCATATTATATTACACAGAATCACTCCACACTCTCCCAATAAGTTGAAAATGTGGGATTTGGGGTGTTGTGATGCAGAAAGAGAAACAATGTTTAGTATTTTCATCAGATTCTTGTATTCAGTCACTTCACTCAACAAAGTCAACTAATGCAAAGCAAAATCGAAACGAGCCAGTTACTTTGTATGAAATCCCATAGGGATTAGTTGCTAGATGGAATCTTTAGCATAATTTTTTTCTCATTCATATTTAATTGTCTTTTTCCAGTTCTACATTTACATATGCATATAAATAGCACAGAAATCAGACTAAAATCTCAATAGGAAACATATATTTACATATAAAACAAACCATGCTAAAATTAAATCTATTTCTAAATTATGTCAAATGCTCAAGCCATTTTCATCAACATATAGCTATGGTAAAGTTGCATTAAAGCTGTCATGCTTATAGTGTCTTGAAAGAAACCACTCCAAAGAGTAAGTGATTATTGCCTTAAGCATACAATGGTTTCCTGATCGGAACTAGCACATATGTGTTTTTCCTTCCTTCCTTTAGATAATTGTTTTCTTTTTGGTAGTGTCCACCAAATGTTTTCAATATGATCTCTTTACTCAGCAGATAAAGATACCAGCATGCATAGTGAAGTTTTTATTTTCAAAAGCGTATAGAAATATATGTATATTTGCACACATATAAAAATATACATATAACCTCTGGGTAAGATAAATAATTATTATTTTTAAAAGTATTTTATATCTTATGATTTCTACTAGAAATGTAATATCTTTGTGATAAAATAATTTAATAAAAAATAAACGAATTAGAAATTGACACCTGCTTTTGAAATATGTATATGTGTAACTAGTGCTGTAATAGCCATTGTGTAACCATAAAATACACTAACACACTGAGGATTTAATGAAATGATATTAAGAAAACCCAATGTTACATCATCATTTTAATATCTTTTTATATCCTGTGTATCCTCTAAGGTTCAATCGTTCATTTAGAGATAACTGTTTGTATAATAGCTTTCCCAAAAGTGCTACTGGTTACGATAAACAATTAAAGAAATTTGAGAGAAAGAAAAATACAAGCATGAGCCAAAAGGAATTGGAATCAAGTGGTGGCAGTGCTCAGACGCCAAGCCCACGGTTTATTTCCCCCCACTCTTGGGATTTCACCAAGTCACTGCCTGTAATGGATACTGTTCGAGACCTGGAAGATGGCTCAGTTAGTGAAACACTTGCTGTTCAAGCATAAGGGCCTGCGTTCACATCCCCAGTATCCATGAAAAAAATCTGGCACCATGGTGCACATCTTTAATTCTGGCACTGAGAAGGCAAAGACAAACAGATCCCTAGAGACGACTAGCCAGCCAGTCTAGCTAATCAGTGAGCTCGAGGTTCAGTGAGAGATCCTGTCTCAAAGAATAAAGTGGGGAGTAACCAAGGAAGGCACCAAGACCTTGTCTTAGTCAGTGCTCTATTGCTGTGAAGAGACACCGTGACTAAGGAAGCTCTTACAGAAGAAAGCTTTTAATTGGGGGCTCCTTTGCAGTTTCAGAGGGTCAGTCCATTATTATCATTGTGGGGAGCATGGTAACATGCAGGCAGACACTGGTGCAGTAGCTCACAGCTACATTCTGATCCATAGGCAGAGAGAGGCTTTTGAAACATCAAAGTCCACCCCCCAGTGATATACTTCCTACAACCAGGCACACCTAATCCAAGAAGGCCACACCTACTAATCTCTGTCAAGTAGTACCACTCCTGATGAACAAGCATTCAAACCTATGAATCTGTGGGGGTCATTCTTATTCAAATCACCACATATTTCAAGCTTTTACACAATCTGCATATATGGTCATACACACACACACACAGAAACATATACACAACATATACAATATCCCTTTGCAGAGGTACTATTACAGAAAACAGGGATACTCATTACTTCAGCAAAGTTTTAAGAGAAAAAACAATATCATACATTGTTGAATATGAAAAACATTGTTACTAGTAGGATCATGCACTTCTGCAAACCATTTGACAATTTCTCATTTTTAAATGTTCATAGTCTTTGTCTTAGAAACAAGCAGTATAATCATCCAAGCAAATGTACAGAGCTATGCATGCATTGCTATGCAATAAAATATCCATTAAAATGCAAAAATATCACACATAATCCTCTGCTAATCACCAGAGGGCTACTGCAAAATGTAATACAATTCTACGTAGCTGTTAAAAAGATCACGGTAAGAAAGGGATATTTGCATGGAAAGTCCTCTAAGGCAGGGTTAGTAAAGAAAACAAATTGTATAATATGTGGATATTGATCTTTTCTCTGTAAAGTATAATGTTTATGAACATGTGATTCTTATATAACAAATATTATTATCCATATACAAAACATCATTGACACCATCCTGTGCGGAGAGATTCCCATCCAATGATGCACATTCCTCTAATGTTTGAATTTTATAATCAGATTGCTTTTATGGGCTAGGAAAGAAAATCTAGAAACAAAGTTTTATTAAAACAATTTCCTTTGGGGGCTGGAAGGACGGTTCAGTGGTTAAGAGCATTGTACTGCTCTTTCAGGAAACCTGAGTTTGGTTCCCAGCACCCACATCAGGTGGTTCACAACCATCTGTAACCACAGCTCGAGGGGGATCTGATGCCAGCTTCTGCCCTCTGTGGGCACTGCATTCATTTGCCCAGCACACACACATAATTAAAAATAGATAAGTGCCCCATTTTATAATTGGGTTGATTAGCCTTTTACGGTCTAGTTTCTTGAGTTCTTTATATATTTTGGAGATCAAACCTTTGTCAGTTGCAGGGTTGGTGAAGATCTTCTCCCAGTCAGTGGGTTGTCTTTTTGTCTTAGTGACAGTGTCCTTTGCTTTACAGAAGCTTCTCAGCCTCAGGAAGTCCCATTTATTCAATGATGCCCTTAGTGTCTGTGCTGCTGGGGTTATACATAGGAAGTGGTCTCCTGTGCCCATGTGCTGTAGAGTACTTCCCACTTTCTCTTCTATCAGGTTCAGTGTGTTCGGACTGATATTGAGGTCTTTAATCCATTTGGATTTGAGTTTTGTGCATGGTGATAGATATGGATCTATTTTCATTCTTCTACAGATTGACATCCAGTTTTGCCAGCACCATTTGTTGAAGATGCTCTCTTTTTTCCATTGTATACTTTTAGCTCCTTTATCGAAGATCAGGTGTTCATAGGTTTGTGGGTTAATGTCAGGGTCTTCTATTCGATTCCATTGGTCGACTTCTCTGTTTTTATGCCAATACCAAGCTGTTTTCAATACTGTAGCTCTGTAATAGAGTTTGAAGTCAGGGATGGTAATGCCCCCAGACAATCCTTTATTGTATAAGATTGTTTTGGCTATCCTGGGTTTTTTGTTTTTCCATATAAAGTTGATTATTGTCTTCTCCAGATCTGTGAAGAATTTTGATGGGATTTTGATGGGGATTGCATTGAATCTATAGATTGCTTTTGGTAGAATTGCCATTTTTACTATGTTGATCCTCCCAATCCAAGAGCAAGGGAGGTCTTTCCATTTTCTGGTGTCTTCTTCAGGACATTGAGCTTATAATTCATGTTCCTAGAGAAGCTAAATAAGGTGAATCCAAAGACAAACACATAGGCATCCTCAGGAATATTAACCTTCATCAGGCGATGAAAGGAGACAGAGACAGAGACCCACACGGGAGCACCGGACAGAAATCTCAAGGTCCAAATCAGGAGCAGAAGGAGACGGAGCACGAGCAAGGAACTCAGGACCACGAGGGGTGCACCCACACACTAAGACAATGGGGATGTTCTAATGGGATCTCACCAAGGCCAGCTGGCCTAGGTCTGAAAAAGCATGGGATAAATCCGGACTAGCTGAACATAGCGGACAATGAGGAATTCTGAGAATTCAAGAAAAATTGCAGTGGGTTTTTGATCCTACTGCATGTACTGGCTTTGTGGGAGCCTAGGCAGTTTGAATGCTCACCTTACGAGACCTGGATAGAGGTGGGCAGTCCTTGGGCTTCCCACAGGTCAGGGAACCCTGATTGCTCTTCGAGCAGATGAGGGAGGGGGACTTGATCGGGGGAGGGGGAGGGAAATGGGAAGCGGTTGTGGGGATGAGGCAGAAATCCTTCATAAATAAATAAATTAAAAAAAAATAGATAAAAATCTAAAGAAAAGAATTTTTCATTTTAAGTAATTCAGCTTATTTGACTTCTTTCCTTTTAGTTTTATAGAGTGTATCATATTATATTTGAGGCGGTGTGAGCTACAAATTGAACCAGACAGCGATTGATAGCATCTCCTCCTCATTTCTTGGTATCCTATTAATCAAGAATATTAAGGCGAGCGATGGTATCCAAAAATCGGCCATTTATATGTGAGGGCCCATCCAGGAAAACCTGGACTAAGTTACCTGCTGAGTTGTGCTGGTGATAGTGTATGAGCTTTGAGATGGAATCGAAGCAGTAGTTCTCGGCCAGGTAGAGCTTATTCTCGGCATTAGTATGCACATGGTAATGTTTGACAGTTCCTTTTTTATCACTAGTAAGGAAGAAAGACGACGTTAGAAGGTTTAAACAGTAAGCTTTGGATGAACTAATGAACACATAATTATTTTGAGTCTATTGACAAATGTTGGAGCAGGAAACCAGGGATACTTATTCAGACGACATCTGCCGCTTCTCAGCAAGCATCCCTGACAAGCAGTAATGATGGCCAAGGGATCCTCTCTGAACTTGGTGTGTCCTTTATGCATATATAAAATTCATGCACAGAAAATTTGAACTTTAGGTGCTAGTAACCTGGCCAAGCCAAGAAAGGTACCTGCAGCCAATCATAGCAAGCTGAGTTCAGTTCCGCATGGTTGAAAGAGAGAACGGACTTGCACAAATTTTTTCTCTAACATCCATACATGAGTCTCCAGTAGCACAGTTTGATAATTCATTATAATAATATTTTTGGAAAAATTTATGTTACTGTTCCTTAGTGAGTATAAAAATAAAATCGACAGAATCTGTTTGTGATGGCTACGAGCCTTGGAGTTCTTTAGGATCATGTGAGAACATTAATTCTCTTTTACAATAATAATGGGGGAGAAAACTGTGTGGGCGAAGGTGATTAGGTTGTGGGTATCATCACCCTAGAGCTCCTTTGGGAGTGGGGCATGCAGGAAGAAAAGCACGGAGACATGCTTAAATCCATCATCTAGGCCTCCTCGTTCCGAGCAGCAACAATACTATTGTTACCATCAGCTTAGCAGGTGTCTGCTCTGTGCCGGGTTGTGCCATAATCCAATAACTACATTGTGCATGCTTTCCATGTAAATCATTTTCTTCTTTCCTTCCGGTTCCAAAATATTGGGATGAGTTCACGCACAACAACTCAGGCCAACCAGGAATAACATGTCTGTCTTAGATTTTAGAGTTCAGTTCTAATAGTCACTTGCTAACTCCTCTGGTTTATATAAAGATCGGATGAGATTATGGTGTGTGTGTCTGTGTGCGCGCACGCGCATATGAGCTCTACTTGCCACTCAAGAACAAATTTATCAATGAATGAATTGTTCTTATTGTAATACAAACCAAGTTAAAAACTACAATTTAAAAAAAAGAGGAGAAGAGAGGATATTTCCCTTTGCTGCAAATGACTGACCTGCTTTTGGTGTTAGTATAAGCTGATGACATTTCATGAAAGAGTTTTGCTTTCCCAGTCCAAATGGATATACCTACAAAACTACTTTTTAAAAAGGCTATTGCTTTCATTTAATTCCTTATCTATTTGATAATTTTCTGCTGGATCAGCTTCAAAAAATGAATCTGGGGGAATGAAGCTTGAAAGGGAAGACATTTGACATTGCATTTGGCTCTAGCCAGAGGGCCACAGCTGTTTTGACACTAAGTGAACAGAATGTTCTCTAGTTATTGGATTTGTTTCAGCCAATGACCATGTAAAATATAGTATATATGCTTATTAGATACATGGATTCTGGTATTGGCAAACAATGTAAGATCATTCAAGATATACTCTATTATTTCAAGTTGGATGTAGGTATGCTGTAAAACAAATCTCAAAATAAATACCTTCATCATCATCTATTACAAGTACATGCATACGCTCTGTGGGATGGGGCACTCGTCGACACAAGCCATTCAATCTAGCTGTTAAGAAATATTTCTTTTAAATGGTCCAAATCAACTAAGCATTGGTCTGACCCCATCGCCAAAACACTGAAGGTTTCCCAGACACATATATTATAAGGAAATATGGCTTGGTTATTTGTTTGTTGGCGGTGTACCTTCAGTTTGGGTGCTTATTCAGTTTCACAGACTGCATTTTTAGAGCTCCCTTTGAACCCCAATCTCCTCATGCGTGAAGGGACAAATAAAAACAGTTTTCTTGTTTACTACTGAGGGGCTTTACAAGAACTAAAAGAGGTACTGGCCCTTGAGAAAGTGACTTATAAAACTCTGGAAGATGCGTGCCTATAATCCCAGCCCTGGGGAGACAAAGGTGGGAGGCTCAAGAGTTGGAGGCTACGTAGTGAGGCTCTGTCTCAAGAAAACCAACTTCTGGAGGGGGTTTCTGCTGACGATGACTTTAGTAGGCGGCTCTCAAAAGTCTTACACACCTGAGGCTTGTCAGGCATGTAAGCGGAAGCTAAAGTACTTTTTCAACAACACCAGAAACAGTAACTGCTTCTTAATTGGGTGTTACTATGTGCCAGACATTATCCTAATCTAATATGTGCGTTATTTCATTCAGTGAACATCAAAATCGTTTTTAAAAAGGTAAACCCATACATATTTACTAGCACTGTTAAAACATTAAAAGACATTCAAGTCGCTAGTAATTAGATCGCAAGCCCTCGCGTGGCAATCCAAAGTCACTGAACTATGGCTACTAAGCTATACGAAATTGTATCACTTTAATTAAAGATTCTGGTCTACATTTGGCCACCTCAAAGTCATTGTTAGGTGGGTGAATTTAAATACTGTGGCTTCCTGTTTGATGGACACTGTGGGTGTGAATGTGGGAAGTAATTTTAATTATGTGTACCTGGTCACAGGCCTACTTTGCAGCGACCATTGCTGTTTCATTTAACACCACCTTGTTGCTTTGAATGCATTAAAAATCACTATGACGAATCCCTTCCACATGAGGAAGTTCAGGCCCAAAGCAGGGAAGAAAATCGCTCAACATCATAAAGGCCTGAAATGCCAAGGCAGCTGACTTTGACCTAGAACTCTCACCCGCAAAGGGCCACAGTGAGAGGGAAGCTACTCGGAGAAGGCGGCAAAGCATAGGATTCAACCCACAGAAAAGGCTTACTGAGAACGGGGCACTGGGGCGAGCGTCTCAGCTCAGCAGCCAAGTTTGTTTTTTTTTATTTAGAAGTGCTCTTCTTGGGACAAGGATCTCAGGCTGCTGTTTCAATTAATGTGTACGGAGGTGTGTTGAGTTCACATCGTCTGGAGTGGACAGGAGAGGGTCACTCAGAGCACGGCTGTTTGCAATTAGAGGGGAAAAAGGCAATAGCTAATGGCTAGATTCAATGCAAATACTTTGATCCCAAATTCTGAAGTTCAAGAGTGGTGTCATATCTCAAAATATGACTAAGTGGTCACCGTTTTCAAACAACAGTCACAAGGATGCTAAAAGACATAAACCTACATTGTACTTACTTCACAGCCTTACTAAATAAGGACACGGTGTACATTCCCGCCTGGCTGGAATTTCTCACCATAAAGGCTCCTTCTTTTCCCTGAAAAGGACAAGTCATTTTTGTTATTTTTGAAAGTGATTTTTATGTAGGCAGTAAGGAAAAAAATACTTTCCATCCACTTTAAATGCCACCAAAGGAACAGGTTACCCAAGAGTTGACACAGACGGGCTGTCCCTCAGCTTAGCTTTCTTCCTTTTCTCAATCAATTCTTTCCTCCTTTTCCTCTTTCCCTCCCTTCCTCTTTCTTTTTTGGGACATGGGATGGAACTCAGGACCCCACCTTTGCTAAGCAAAGTGCTGGAGCGTAGAATTTTATCCTCACCCAAGTCCGTATCTTTTTCTTTTCTTTTCTTTTCTTTTTTTTTTTTTTAGACAGGGCTTTTCTCTGTGTAGTCCTGGCTGTCCCGGAACTAGCTCTATAGACCAGGCTGGTCTCATACTCACAGAGATCCTCCTGCCTATGCCTTCTGAGTGCTGGGATTAAAGGCATGTGCCACCACCGCCTGGGTCCAAGTCATTGTCTTTACAGATCCATCCTGTGTGAACGCTTCTTCTCTAGATAATTGGCAACTCTCTAAAAGTTTTGTTTTATTTCATACTTATGGAAGCTTAACATTTTCCTGTTTGAGAAATAAAATTTGTGAACACACACACACACGCCACTATAATCATATTCTGGAAATGTTTGAGAAAATTAGCAACGAAGAATAGATGCTTTGCTAAAGTTCTACCCTTTGTCTTTTGCAAGGTTTGTTCCAATTTTAACTAGGGCCAAGTTCATAAGAAGCACAATAAACCATGGATATAACAATTTGCCAAGTAATCTATCACATTCTGTTAAGAACGTCTCAGAATGTAATTTGTGTATTTAGTATTTTATTAGGCTGAACTCTACCAAAGTATCAATTTCATAGATGAAAAGAATTTCCTATGGGCACGTTCCTACCAATTAGCAATAAAATCAAGTAAATTAATTCCATATCACATCTGCTATGCTCGGGTTTAGGTGCTAATGAGCAGTAAAGACCAGCTGAGGAAAATAATCACATCAACAATCCACATTAAGTCATTTTTTTGGACTTAGGGTGTATAGCTCAGTAGTAGAGGGCATGTGTGTTATTTTGAATGAGATTGCTCCCCATTGGCTCAAATATTTGAATGCTTGGTTTCGAGGTGATGGACTGTTTGGGAAGCATTAGGAAATATGGTCTTGTTGGGGGAGCTGTGTCACTTGGGGTGGTGGGGGTGAGGTTTTAAAAGTCCACATCATTCGAGTTGGCTCTCGGTCTCATGGTCATTGTCTTAACATGTAAGCTCTCGGCTATTGTTCCAGTATCATGCCTGCCTGCCTGCTGCCATGTTCTCCACCAAGATGGTCATGGATTAACCCTCAGGAACTGTAAGCAAGACCCTAATAAACTTCTTCTTTCTCTTGTTTAGTTGCCTTGGTCATGGTCTCCCTTTACAGCAATAGTAAGGAACAAAGACAGCATGCCTAGCATATGCTAGCATATGGGTTCCACCTGCAGTCCTGAAAAGTGAAATCATCTCTCCTATTTGTGACTCTGTGATAATCTCCTCCCACCTTGACTTTGGAATGGATCACGTGACTTGCTATAGCCAATGGGACAGTAGCCAATGCTGCCAAAGCAGAGAGTCCCTAAGTACTTCATGGCTGAGTTTATCCTTTTGGAAGGTTTTCTATTCTGTGAAGAGAATACAAACAGAGACTGGAGAGGCTGTGAAGGGAAGGACTGTGGCACTCTGGTTGGCATTCTCAACTACCCACCCTCAGCCATCCATCAGCAAGACATGGAACTGGCTCAGCTGCCGTGCACAACTGCGAGAAATCCGGAATCTTGTTTGAAGCCACTAAGTGTTGCAGTGGTTTATTTTTAAAGAAAAGGTTATTGAGTACATGGCAGAAGGACAGTAAGCCACTCAGCGACTAGAGTGCCACCTACAACTTGAGGTAGTTTATTATACAGCCATAGGTAAGGTGACAGGAGACCCTCGTAACGCAAAGGGTGGACAATCAATGCCATGATGAGTTGCAACACTAACTATAATGTTTTTCAGAAAAATGCATTCACCCCGGGCCCAGTCAGAGACAGATATTCTTGGGTTGAAGGTGTAGCCTATTGGTAGGAATGCACACACACACACACACACACACACACACACACACACTGAGGAAAAAGAAGAACAATTTACCTTTTGTCTCAGTAATTGCTCAGATTGTGACCTGGAGATATTCCCAGCAAACCAGCTGCAAAAGAATTCTGAATTTGAGAATTGATAATTTTTCAATTATACAACTGTCCCTCAACTTTTGAGTCTGCACAGTGAGGCATCAGCCTATATCATAGATATTCAAACCTAACTATTGGGCAGCGAGCATAACCTGAGGATATTTTCAAAACCCAGCTTCTTAGTCTCCATTGCGCAGTCTACTTCTGGGATGAGGCCTGCACTATATTAAATTGTGAATAGGCTACTAGAAGCCTCCTAGGTGACTTCTAGTTAGCCTACATTCCACTATTTTGAATGGAGGACCAGAGATTAATTAGATCAATGATGATCCAATGGGAAAGTCAGGGTGGCCAGTGATAAGCACTCTTGTCTTTGAACACCATCATCTTATTTTAATAACCCAATAGAAGCACATTTTATATCAACTATTTTCAAAGCAAATGCTTTAAAATATTTTTCTTCAGAGCAGGAAGAGATAAACATCTAAGATGATGTCCAGACAAGAGGCAAAGATATGTGGGAAAGCCAAGTAGAGTTCTTTTTCTTTAAAAAAATAAATAAACTTTGCTCTTGTAATTAATGAGCCAAGAACATCATGTCTTATTTTCTATGTGAAACTCAATAAAAAAAAATTGTCTTGTGTGAGGTTAACTCTGTGTGTGGCTCTCTCGCTTGAGCTAAAGTATCACATACGGGAATAAGTAGGGGATGAGGTAAAATGGCACATGGGTTTGGGAAACCTGGAGGAGCTGGTTAGAGGGTAACCCCTGAAGATGGAAGAAGCGCAGAAGAGTGAAGGCAGACATGAAGGCTCGTGAGGGAAAAGCAATCTTCCCAGTGAATGGGAACTGGTATTTTATATGGTATCTGTATTCATGGAAGCAGGAAATAATAGCAGCTGAAGAGTTCAATGAAGTGGAGAGATTCTTAGACCAGCCAGTTTGGAGGTCTGAGTTCTAGAAAAAACTGCCTCATGTATAGTTGATTTTAAACAAGCCTCTTAGCACTTTTGACCATAGACTTTTCCATCTGTAAAATTAGGCTATCCTGTTTTGTCGTGAGAAGCACAATGACCAAAAGGAAGTTGGGGAGAAAATGGGAAAATGGTTTGTTTCAGTTTTCAGGTTACAGTCCATCACTGAAGGAAGATCCTTGGAGCAAAAGCCAGTGGAGGAGCACCGCTTACCGGCTGGCTTCTGCTGCCTTGCTCAGCTAACTTTTTTTGTGGTTTTCTGAGACCGGGTTTCTCTGTGTAGCCCTGGCTGTCCTGGAACTCACTTTGTAGACCAGGATGGTCTTGCCTCTGCCTCCTGAGTACCAAGTAATCAGCTAACTTTTTTATATGACTTAGACCCACTTGCCTAGAGATGGTACAGTCCACAGTGTACTGACTCTCCTTCTTAATAGCAATTGAGAAAATGACAGCTATGCCAGGTGGCGGTGGCACAAGCCTTTAATCCCAGTACTTGTGAGGAAGAGGCAGGTGGATCTCAGTGAGTTCATGGCCAATCTGGTCTACAAAGGGAGTTCCAGGACATCCAGGACTGTTATACAGAGAAACCTTGTCTTGAAAAACTAAAGGAAGGAAGGAAGGAAGGAAAAAAGGAAGGAAGGAAGGAAAGAAGGAAAGATGGAAAAGAAAATGCTAGCCAGAGGGCAATTTCTCAGATGAGGTTCTCTCTTCCCAGGTGTATCAAATTGGCAACCAAGATTAGCGATCACAGGGCTGATCTTGAGCAGCCCTTTTCAACTCTACCCTTATACATAATTAACACTTGAGGTATTCATGATAGTTTTCTTTTAACTCACATTTCAGTGTAAGAACAGCTAATCAGAAGGTCATTGAGAAAATGTGATATAGAACCCAGATCCTTAAAACAGGGATTGGGACGCCCACATACGATTGGATAACTGAATGTGAGGGGGTCACCAAAAATGGTGATGGTAAAAGGTTCCTGAAAGAGTAGCAAGTACAAATTCATTTAAAACTAAACGTGCAAAGAATCGGGTATTTCTGGCAGTGCTCCCCTGTGTTGCATGCCACGCCTTCACTGCATCCTTGTTCTGAACACCTAATACGCACACATTGCAGTGGGCACCTCATCACACACACCGCCATTAAACGCTGTCTGAAACAGTGTGGCTCAGAGGCAAGGCCCTGTGCTTTATGGACCACAGCATTTGAGCTATCTGTGCAAAGTTTCCTGCTCTCATGGAAACATAATGGTTTAACTACTGAAAACAAAGATTCAACCTTTGAAACAAAGATTCAATCTTCTCAGCACGTAAGTATTAAATTGGCATACCTTCTGAAAGTTTTTATTTATTTGTATTTTATGTACAATGCTTTGCATGTGTATACCTGCAGGCCAGAAGACGGCATATTATCCTATTACAGATGGCTCTGAGCCACCACGTGGGTTCTGGAAATTAAACTCCGGACCTCTGGAAGAGCAGCCAGTGCTCTTAAGTGCTCAGCCATCTCTCTAGCAAAACTGGTATAACTTTGCATTGTTTATTATTAAAATGTTTCCACCTAACAGTTGCCGTTTGACCTGTTTACTGGAGTTTCATTTGAAAAAATATTCAATGAATTTTGGCTTAGCATTAGAGCAGACTTTCCACTTTCTTAGGCGGTAGGCAGGTAAGTGGTGCATATGCATGTAGGTAAAACATCCATAGAAATATAATATAAAAATATTTTTTAAATATCTCAGTAAAACATTGACGATGCTCTTTCTTCACTATCTGATATTCAACCAAGGTGTCCTTCGTTTTGTAATATAAGCAAGCAAATTTTCTTTCATCTATAATAAATGGCCAAGTTATAGGTATATCAAAGAATGGTTTTAAACAAAATTCTTTGTGATTTATTACAGTAAAAGTTTGGTTTCTATACTTATTTTATAAGTCTATATACTTGGGGGGAGGGTCATAAAACTTTTTCTGGTAAAAAAAAAAGGACTTGTGAGCAAAAGAGTTTTAAAAGTCCTTCTCTGGGCTATATACCTACAGGTGGATTGATGAAAGGATCAGGTATAGATATACGGACTTGGACATGAAAGGCAAGAAGGCATATATACTACATTGTCCTAGGCAGCCTTAGCATAGCCTAGAGTCACCTGCGAAGGGAGTCTCAGTTGAATGATGGCTCAGACCAGGCTTCCTATGAACACACATGTGGGGATTGTCCTACTTGTTAACTGATATAGGAAAGTTGAGCCCACTGAGTGGCACCATTTCCTCGTCATGTGGTACTGGGCCATATAAGAATGTTAGCTAAGCATGACCCTGTAAGCCTGCCACCAAGCAGAATTTTTTCTTCTTTTCTGCTTTGCTTTCTTGGCTGTACGTTCCCTGGTTGGGGGTCATGTAGCAAGCAGTCTTGCCTTCAAATCCCCGCTGGAGTTCCTGCCCTGATTTGTGCAGTGACAGAATGTTACCTATAGGCATAAGTCAGATAAATCCTTTCCTCCCTTAAATTGCTTTCGGTCAGTGTTTCATCGTCACAACAACGGAAAACAATCCAGGACAGACATCTTCCTAACGCTTCACACCAATAGACTTGTTACCTGGGCCATTATTTTGCTGAACCTCAGTTCTGCTTATTTTTAAAAATTTAGTATTCTACGTGAAAAGAGCAGGGGTCCAGCTCCCGCCCTAGCATGATTTTTTGTCTGAATCCCAGAGCTTCCATCTTTATGTGAACGAAGTAGAATTGCTCATGGAATTATGACTGCAAGACAAATGATCCAGTGACAGTGGCCCTGTCGGGATAGGAATCAGGGGGTGTCAAGTAAGATGTGGGGTCCTATAGTCCTGTAACTCTTGAGTTCCTTTTCAGAGGGCTTTGGTTGTTTTTTTTTTGTTTGTTTGTTTGTTTGTTTGGTTTTTTTTTGCAGAAGATGGGGTTTTAATGATAATTTCCACAATGTGTAAATATCTAAGATCATTTTAACAGTAGAGAAAATCTGGTAGAGCTTCAATTTACATGAGTGCTAAAGACTACAGCTTGACACTTTCAATATTTGCTCTCTTCTTGGAGACAGGAATCGAAGCAGAAATCACAGAGAAACACTGCTTACTGGCTTGCTTTCCATGGCTTTCTGCTTTCTTGCAGCATTCAGAGCCAAGAAAGGGGTGGCACTGGGCTGGGATGGACCCTCCCACTTGTCAATCATCAATCAAGAAAATGCCCCACAGATATGCCCACAGGCCACTCCGATAGAGGCAATTCTTCAATTGATGTTCTCTCTTCCCGGTTGACTCTTGGTTGCCATCGAGTTCATAGCTAAAATGAACTACTAAGAGAAGGCTGGAATGTGGGAACGAAATAGTAACACGAAGGAATGGAGGACATATCACACCTTCCCTAACGTGACAGGCATGCTTGAACTAGAGTAGATTGGAGGAAACATACAGGCCTGTTGTAAAATTTCTCACTTTACATGTAACTAATAATTGCTTTCACTCAAAAGAGAACATAAGCATGCAGAATCTGAGAGTCCATATGAATTCTAAAACTTAACTAAAGTCCTTTTAATATTGAGTGTGTGCAAAATACAATATGCTATATTATTCTCATCTTTCTTTAACACTAATCTTTAAGTCTAGGAGGCAATAATGTCAACATTTATAGAATGACAGGAAACCCTGAATTTTGGAAAGAACATTAATGGCCCTTAGGCCTACCGAAGGACACAATTAGGGTGACCATTTATTCTTATTTTCCCAGATCAATTTACGCCATACGTCTATTGGAATGTGTCTGTCTGTCAGGAATCTCAACTTGGATGTGAAATAATAAGGCCACTCCATGAACAGGACTCTGTAAACAGAAATGCTGCATGCTGAGTAGTTCAGTGTGCTGCTGTGTGCCATCAGTGCATCATACAAGTGCCTCCACAGTCCCTGGATTAGAGGGCTCCACCAGGTAACGAATGAGCAGAAACATTGTATTCTTTATCTATGGAATGAAAACACTGAGCATGTGATAAAGCCAATGAATATATATGCAGCAGATTTAGATGGTCCACACTAGGGGAAATATCTTTTTATTGATAATTGATAGCCAAGTTCATTGCCACTTGCTGTTTAGAAAAATGGCTCAGAGCCTCACATGAATTTACCCATGTCAATACAGCCTGCTGCGAAATTCTGAGCAATCTGTCAATGCTGTACAGGCATCAAGCAAAAACGTCTAATCCTACTTTTAGAAGAACGTATAAGACTTTGAACACTCACTCATAATCATCCAGATTTTCCTCCTCTTCAGATGAACTTGACTCAGGGAATCCCCTTAAGAAGAGTCCAGAAACAACATGAATGTCAAACAGACAAGTCAACCAAGAAACAATCCAAGCTCCTGGTACAGCCATGGCAAAACTCTTACTATTTTATCCACATATACAAAATGAAGTTTCTGCTAAGTGTCCTCTCTGCACTTGGGAAACCTATCAGCAAAATGAAAAGGCAAGTCATTCACAAACTGAGTCTATGCCTAGTGCAGTAAGAGAATGGCTCTTTCACAAAAGTGGTGTCTAGGAACTCAGGTTATGTAGATTCTTTCAGAAGAGAAACATTATGAAACACATGAAGAATCCTTCAAAAATGTCTACAGTATAAAGTTTGAAAAAGTTGGTGCTATACCTGGAGAGATGGCTCAGTGATGAAGAGCACTTCCTACTCTTACAGAGGCTTTGGTTCAGTTCCCAGCACCCACATGGTAGCTCACAGCTATTTATAACTCCAATTCTCAGGGATCCAATGTCCTCGTCTGACCTTTGTAGACACTACACATATATGATGCACTTACATGCAGCCAAAACACTCGTACCCATAAAAAGAAAAAAGAAAACGGAATAATATTTTTAAATGTTAGCGATGTGCATGGAGCTATTCTTAGGGAAGAATCATTTATTCGGCATTGCCTTTTCTCTTGTTAGAGATGCCTTAGCCAGTGTACCATAATACCAGAGTACATAATGAGTGATCAGTAGGAACAATCAGTGTGAGGGTAACTGGAACCAACAAACCCTCAATGAGACCCACCTACAAATTTAGAGGCAAACTACATGGACATTTTTTTTGATTATATTTACTTTGTATATAAAGCCTCATTGCATACTTATTTTAAATTTGGTTAGTTTTCCTGTAAACAGAAGTAAAATTTGAGGATAAAGTAGTATCTATATGGGATTTACCAGGACATCTTTGAGGTGTTGTGATATACAATATTTCTTTCCTCGTGGTGACTGCTGGCAGCATCTTCCTCACTGCAGACAAAGAGAGTTGGTTACTATGGTGAATGGGGAAGTTCCTGGAAAGCAGCCAGCTCTTCTACTGACCCTGCTGCAAAGGCTCGTTAACAGATCAGAACATTGGTAATTGTGGAGAGATTGGGATGCTGCAGGCTCAGAACCTAATTTTGATTTAGCTGCCTCAGGTGTGTATGACCAAACATCCTTGAGACTGACAGGCAAACCTTTTGCAATGTATTTACTTAACAGATCACTGAAAAACTGTAATAAAATGAGGAGGACATGACTATTCCTGAAGTCTGGAGAAGATTTTCATTGTAGTTATAAGGGAGAAATCAGGCAGAGGGAAGAGTCTGGGCTGAACATGGCTGGCAGACTAGACCAGACCATGAGAGGAGAGAGGGGGAAGAAGAGCAAGAGATGAATGGCCAGCCAAAAGAGGTGTACCCAAAAATGACAACTGGCTGCATTATGTAAGAAAGAGAAGCTGGATGAAGGGAAGGGAAGTAGAAGCTTCTCCTTGGAAGGGAGAGATCTGGGATGGGGACCAGGGTGAGAAGTGTTGGGAGGAGCCACAGGTACTGAGTAATGCTGGGAGACTAGGCAGCAGCTGCTGTCTGCTTTGATATGTTAATAGGCACCTCAGCCATTTGTTCATGGATTTCTTTGAGACCTAATAACCACTAGCTTCCATGACCCCTAGAACTAAATTGTCATTAGGTAATGTGAGAACCAAAGTTAAATGTTGGGGGCTATTTATGTTTTCTCTCCCTTAAGCAACTTTCTTTGACCCACATACACCTGCAATGGATGTGCTTGATCACACATAAGAGGGAGGTATGTGGGCAGGAAATATATAAGAATGTATGCTTGCTCCTGATTGGATGTAGATGGAAGGGGGGGGGAGGAAGTGAGTAGGCAGGACATATGTCTGGATATATGCTCGCCTCTGATTGGAACTGATGGGCCCCTTGTGGGGCTGCCTTTTTAAGCCTCTACCGTGGCCATTTTCTGGGAACTGAGAGATGGACCTGGCCAGAGAGTCCATCAACCTGACCAGTATTTAGTTAAAGTTTGCTTCAAATTTGGCTTTCAACTGTGGTAGTGGTTTTATTCTCTACTGGTGGGATTAACAGTAATATCTGAGGCCTGTAACATAGCACCCCCCCTTTATTATATTTCCCCTATCTCTGATGTTTCCACCTATGCATTTGAAAAGCTTTCTGCTTTTTGATGTTCTTTGTTCTGTTTCTAAAAAGAACCTCACGAGTCAGGTTAGTGTTGATAAAGGCTTAATCCCAGCTCTTGGGAGACAGAGGCAGGTGGATCTCTGTGAGTTTGAGGCCAGCCTGGTCTACAGAGCAAGTTCCAGAACAGCCATGGCTGTTACACAGAGAAACTCTGTCTCAAAGAAACAACAAAATAGCAAAACAAACAAATGAACAACATTTGAACAAAACAAATGAAATTGCTGTCATTAGAACATTGAATTTGGAGTGACTTCAATTTGTGTCCCTGGGCCATGGGCACTCATATATGGTTCCAAACCAAATTCTTCTGCCCCGTGACAGTTGTGATTTCTTTTGTGTTGACAGTGCATTAATAAATGTACGATTAGCGAATGTTAAGTGACAGCGTGATTTGTTTGAGATCGGTCTTCACTATTTGACCTTGACATTTTGCTCCTTTCAGAACAAAGGAGAACTGCTAATGATGATCTAAGGGCCCCACACAGAAGGAAACCTGGATCAGGAGATCACCCAGCTTGACTTGCGCTGCTTTTCTTGCGCATGCATGAGCACTCTCTCCTTTATGTATGTTTAAGCATGTTATTTTCCCCTCTGTTGATTAGAGCTGAAAGTCTTGAACTTGTGATTCATCTGGACACAGATGGAGCAGCAAGATTTGCATAGTCCTTTGCCACCCATCATTTTATCTCATTCGTTCTGGGTGTTAAGAGCATGAAGAAGGGTCTATCTCCTCCTAAAATCCAAGGGTTGCTTTGTCTGGGAATTTAGAACCCATTTCCTGTTTGCCTTCATGACCCACCTCTTTTTCTAAACTACAGTTCACAGGGACAAAGTACTTTGGCTAGGAAACAGTCCTCTGGCTTTGTTTCAAGAAATGTCTAAAGAATTCTAAATGCCCTCAAATCCTAAAATGCTTCCTCCCCACCTGCTCAACCAGTATTGCCCCCCAAAAGAGCCTTTTGCCTTCCCTCTCTGTAAGAAACTCTCATTGAAAAAGGCAAAGCTATTTAGCCATTTCCTGAGCTTTTATTGTGTGTGTGTGTGTGTGTGTGTGTGTGTGTGTGTGTGTGTGTGAGAGAGAGAGAGAGAGAGAGAGAGAGAGAGAGAGAGACCAACTTGCAACAACTTAAAGGAACCAGTTCTCTGCTTCTACCATGTGAGACCTGGGATTGAACTTGAAGCATCAAAGGTGACCTGATGGAACTCAAATGCTCAGGCACAGAGCATCTTGCTAGTCCAGATCTCTAAGAGCACTGGGCAGTAGTCAAACAAATGCAGCCCTTTCCTCAGTAATCAGTTATGGACACTGTACTTGGAAACTAGTTGCATCCGAGAGTGAAAAGGACCGTGATGATATTTAAAGACATTTAAATCCAGTGGAATAGTACTTACATTCTTTCAGGTTCCACATGACCCTGTGGCTGCATCATTGGAACAGTGAGGCATTTGCTTTAAGTAAAAATAATGAGTGTGAGAAGAGTCAAGGAATATGAGCACAAGAGAAGATAAACGACAAGTCAGAGAGATGCTCTGCATTTTCTCTGCATAGAGACAGACATCAGTAGCACTCTGCAGGGAAGCTGACATCTGTCAGAATGACAGTGGACAGTGTGGTGGGGGCTGAAGTCTGAGACAGCAAAGAAGGAAGGTATTAGGATCCAAAAATTATGCTGGCCCCTGTCACCTGGCAGGATGCACCCTGGCAGTGCCCTGGTCAGCCCAGGGGCCTATGACTGCTACCTCACTACATTGTCTGTATGCGGGTGCAAAAGGTCCCTTTAAGAGACAAGTTCCGCCCAGCACTTGGGAGGCAGAAGAAGGAGTATCTCTGTGAGTTCAAGGCCAGCCTGGTCTACAAGAACTAGTTCCAAGACAGTTAGGACTGTTACATGGAGAAACCCTGTCTCGAAAAACAAAACCAAAAAAAAAAAAAAAAGACAAGCTCTGCCCATTTCTGCTCTCTTTTTCTGCTGCTCTTCTGAAGAGGCAGGCTGGTCCTTGCTTCTTTTTTTTTCCCTCTGGTTTTTTTTTTTTTGTATTAATCTTTCGCTCTTCCACTCTTCCCTCTCTCCACTCTCTTATATTAATAAAACTCCCACGTAAACTCTGCTCTGCCTGCATGGTGAGTCTGTCCCTTACTTTTTGTGGGCTCTCCCCTGCTGTGTGGCCCCTTAGTCCGCCAAGTTACCTCTCCCACCAGTTTACAACAGAAGGGATAACACTTGTCTCTTCCTGCATGATCCGATTGCCATTCAGTTAAACATTTATTGAGTATCAAGTGTGGCACAGACCCCAAAGATACATTCACTTTTTATCAGTTTATATATTATTGCCTTCAATGTGCTTTCAGTTCTGAGTTTGGATAGCATCATTGGGTTGAAAACTTGAAAGGACTAAGTAAGCCCACCTGAAACTCACTCTTTTGTATAAGAGAGGCATTTTACAGATTCTGTGTTTAGCACTTGTAATGGTCTGTCCTGTCTCTTTGAGAGACAAACCCCATCCATTCCCTCCCCTGTCTACCAGACTACCAGATCTTCCTTCCTGCCTGCAGTCTGACTCCTCCCTTTGGGTCTCTCTCCCAAAGAGGGAGCTGCTGTGTGGCTCCTCTCCTCTCCTCTTCCCACCTCTCTCTCTCTCTCTCTCTCTTCCTCTCTCTCTCTCTCTCTCTGTGTGTATGTGTATCTCTCTTTCTCTTACTCTCTCTCTGTCTCTCTCTGTCTCTGTCTCTGTGTCTGTCTCTCTCTCTCTGTCTCTCTCTGCTCTTCCCCCATCTCCCTTCTCCCTTTTTCCCTTACCCCTCCATAACCCACTAAATAAATACCTACTTCCTCTGCATGGTGTGCCTACCTATCTCAGTTCTCACCCACCATGCAGATCATCCATGTCTAGGAACTGCTGGCCGTCATGGCCTGGGGGCCACTCAGGGACTCCCTGCCTGGGACCTGGCTGCCTTGGGGGTTTGCCGTGGTCTCATGCCTGCTGCCTGCCACCACTCTGGAACCTGCAGCATGGTCTTAGGATCTGCTGCCTGCAACCACTTAGGGACCTGTGATATGGTATCATGGCCTGCTGCCCACTGCTGCCACTTGGGGACCTGCAGCATTTCTGCCACTGTACCCCTTGGGGAACCTGCAGCATTTAACTTAAACCATTACATTGGTGCTGCCTGAGATGCAGAAGGCTCTCCTGCCCCTCTCCCAGGGTCAGGATCCAGAACCGTGTATTTTTTTTCCACAATAATCACATGTTCCATTTGCCTAAATGCTGACCTCTACGCACACCAGCAGCTTCAGTGGTGAGTTTTCCCCTTCCAGTCCCCAACCACAGCCTTCACAGTTATGGTTGAGCCCTTTGCTGCATTCTATAGCTATAAAACATGACCAGATGACCCAGGGTCAGTCCTCCCATGCTAGCCCTGCACACACTGTGTGATACATTCGGCTAGGGGCCCAGGGACCCAGGTCCCTCGGATTTTTCTTTCTTCTTTCTTTTTCTTTTCTTTTTTGTCTTTTTCTTTTTCTTTTTTTTCTTTTTTTTTGGACCTCTCATGAGTTGTTCCCACTATGAGAGACCATTTGGAGCAGCCTCCATCCTCTCTGGCTTCCTTGTTGCCAGGACTGGAGTCAGTCAGGCTTTACCACCCTGCCTATAGAGAGGAGATGTCCCTCTATAGGCCCTGCTGTGTTTGTTCACTGTTTTCACAGGTTTTCATGCTTTCAGCTATGGTATAAACCCTCATTCTGCCAGTGTCTCAACAGCTCCACTTTTCCTCACACTGTCTCTGCCATCACTACTGCTGCCAAAAAGATTGGTCAGATCCATGAGGCAGCTGTTTTCAATTCCAGTCTTTTATTCCCTGCTGCAGCTTGTAGCATGGCAGCTCAGCAACAGAGTGAATCACACCTCTAGGTCTCTCTTCATACAACATGTAGCTGCTGCCATTTTGACTGAGGTCAGGTGACTTCACTGCCATCTTAACTGAGAGCCAGGTCAGGTGACCAAGTTCTACCATCTTTACTGAGATATTCCCTGCCTGGTTCCCCAGTGTTAACTCTGTTACATAGGTGACCTTACCGCCACTTTGACTGAAGTCGGGTGACCTTACCGCCATCTTGACTGAGGTCAGGTGGCCAAGTCCCATTATCTTTACTGAGGTATTCCCTGCCTGGTTGCCTGGTGTTGACTCTGTTACATGTGTTTTTTGCAGTGGCATGCCTTTGGTAGGGCCCACCAAGAGCATCTACTTTGCCCAATTCCTTTTCACTCTGTGTGTATGTGTGTAAATACATGTAACTTAAATACACCTATGTTTACAGTTATATGTTATAATTGTCTGTTCATTGTATCTCATTCCAGACTACAAAGCAATAAGTCTCATGTTTTAAATTGATATGTATTTTTAAATCTCTTAATCCAACCCTGCTTTATCTGTTAAGTCGAGAGCCAGTACAGTCAAGCTCACACATAGCTCTCTGGGCAGATTCTATACTGGAGTTACAACTCATCTATACCCAGTAAACAGCCCTCAACTCAGAAATCTGGGAAATATGGCATTTAAATATTCAATTATTAAAAGACTTTTTATAACAAAAAGAGACAGGTTGGCTCCTAGCAGCAGCACTCTATTTCTTCCAAAGAAGACAGAAGACAAATGGGCACACAACAATGTCCATCTGCAATTCACTTCAAATGCCAAGCTCTGACCACTGGGAAAAACTGCCTTTCATCGAAACTGAAGATCACCAGACAGTGGACAGGATCTCTGGAATCGACAGCCTAGTTGCTCAGGTCAAGATAGTCTTGTCTTCCTACAGATTCTTTTTTTTTAATATTTTTATTTATTTATTATGTATACAATATCCTGTCTGCCTGTATGCCTGCAGGCCAGCAGAGGGCACCAGACTCCATCACAGATGACTGTGAGTCCCCATGTGGTTGCTGGGAATTGAACTCAGGACCTTTGGAAGAGCAGGCAATGCTCTTAACCTCTGAGCCATTTCTCCAGCCCCCTTCCTACAGATTCTTTAGCCCAAAGAATCTTCTGGAGTCTGGCAAGCCCTGCGCTAAAGAGCAAAAGGCAAATATGACCTTCACTGACCATGGAGGACCCTGAGGAGTAGCTCTAGGTGCCAAACAAGTAAGTTCTCTGTCGTTTTTTTAATCAATAACTCCTCAAGTATAATTTTATCCTTTTCAAAGATCTCTGATGCAGTTTGACAACTGAGAGGTTTTTCAGTTTAAAAGGACAACCTCACCAAACAAATTTCAATAAAACACAAATACAAGTTATTAAGGTGTGTACCTACAAGTTATAAAGGTATGAATACAAATACAAGCTATCAAATTTCTCTTTCATGCTGTCTTTCATAGTCTTAAAAATATTTTCATTCTGATATAAAATGCTACTGTTTAAAACTTATGTTTTCATAAACCCAAAGAATTCCTGTGAGTTCCAGGGAGCTGAATTAAAGGATCTACCTTAAACAGGTCAGATACACCCCCCTCAATTCCCTGGTCCTATTTTTTTTCTAAACTTAACTTTGTCCTCTGTTCTGCCACTACCTTAAACAGGTGTAAGAGACACCAGACATTTCCATACCACAAACACTGGACAGGAGCAAAGAGACCAGCTACACCAGGATGTGACCAGCACCCAGCTTTCTCAGGTTCTGCCCCAAGACAATGCCCACAAATAATCAGGGAGCAGTCTTGAGAATCCGCAGCCCCAATTCCTTTAACCTGTTGTGCCTAACTTCCCACCTTTTTATTATAAAAAAGAGATGGGAATACAATGATCTGTCCTTTCCCTTTAAGAGACAAGCCCCGCCTATTTCCTTCCCTATCCACCACAGAGGCAGACAGATCTTCCTTCCTGCCTGTGGCTTACCCCTCCCTTTCTGTCTGTATCCCAATGAGGTAGCTGTTGCAGTGACTTCTTCCCCTCCGCCCCCCGCTCTTCCCCCATCTTCCCTTCTTCCATTTTCCCTTACCCCTCCTTAACCCACTAAATAAATACCCATTCTCTTCACATGGAATGTCTATCCATCTGTCTCTCACCCTCTGGGGCTGCAGTTCCTAGTGGGATTGGCTGTCCCACTGAGGTCTCTCACTCACCACGTGGCTCCCTGCCTGGTTCCCTGCTGCCTTTGTGGCCCGCTGTGGTCTCATAGCCCACTGCTTACTGCTGCCACTCAGGTACTTGTTTCTGACACTACGCCCCTTGGAAAACAGCACCACTTTTACTTAAACCATACGAGCATTGTCTAGTTATTTGGGGGAAAGTAGGAGCAAGAAGGGGAAGCATTTAGGTAGAAGCCCTACCAGCATCCTTATATACCCAAAAAGTCTGGGATGTTTAGAATTTCCAGCTTGGAGCCCCATTCCAGGCCCTGCCCTCAGCACTCTGAGAGCTGCCCAAACCCCACCCTCAATACACCAAGCAGTGGCCCCTCCCCTGGAGCTGCCCTCCTCAAACTCCACCACTGAAAAAGCCTGCCCCTCCTTGGGGCTGCTCAAGACCATACCTAGAGACTATGTAAGACCTGGTCAACATATTTGTCACAAGATACCTCTCTCGTCCTCCTGAGGGCCATTCATGAGTTCTTTACTCTGTTCATTAAACCTAGATTTATTAATTCAATTTGATTGGCTTATTACATCAGTGGCAGCAGAATAACCAGGGATTCAAAACTGATCATCAAGGACTAAAATGACAAGGAGCATTAGATAGGAAAATTGAAATCTATACTTTCCTCTCCAGAGGGGCTGCTTGCTTCCCCCCTATTTTTAAGATTTATTTATTTATAGAACTCTATCAGATGTATAACATTATGCCAGAAGAAGGCATCTGAACCCACCATAGATGGTTGTGAGCCACCATGTGGTTGCTAAGAACTCAGGACCTCTGGAAGAGCAGCCAGTGCCCTTAACCCCTGAGCCATCTCTCCAGACCTCAGCTTCCACTCTTCCAGCTAAAGTACTGAATATTTTTGAAGATAGACCACCCTAGTAAAGCTAAGCCCTGTGCTGCCAGCTTTGAGGCTATGGTCCTAGAATATGAGGCAATGTCTATTCTATACTCTGAGCAGTCAACGTAAAGGTTTAGCTTTACCTTTTCAGTTTTCTTACTTGCCACCAGTCAGGGCAGTCTTCCCTTGGAATATAGCGTATGTTGATGGTTGGCTGGGAGCCATAACTTTTCTTTGAGTGGCTGTCATTTTGAGGCGGAGTGGCACTTGAGGATGACGTATCCATTTTGAGAACAGGAACCACCCGAGGAATCTTCAGCTTTGGAGGACAAGAAATTTTATTAGATCAAAAGGAGGTGCAGATCCATGAACAAAATATATCAGTTCCTACACAAAAGAGGAAGGATGGAAGAAAAGAAAGAGGAGAGGGATGGAGACAATGCTAAGCACCGACAAGGATGCAAAACAACCATTAACTCATGCTTTCGCTGGTTGGAAACTCATTTATAAGGCTGGGTGTCTTTAGCCAATAGCCCAGCAATTATATGCCCTATACCCAGCAGTGAAAACCACAGATGGGCAAAATAATGATCACAGTAGACTCGTCAGAATTTGATGAAATCAGAAACTGCCAAAATACTTATCAAGTTGATAAAATAGAAAATATATTGTTGCTGCAGTAGGCTGAGAACTAGTTCCCCAGATGGTCATGTCCCGACTCACAGAATCTGTGACTATTTTCCGTGGCAAAAGGGACTGCTGATTATGACTGAGTCAAGGTGCTGGAGATGGGGAGATTATTCTGGGAGACAGAGATGAGCCTGCTATAATCAGACGTGTCAGGGATTAGCTAGAGCATGTGAGCATGCGAGCAGGGGTAAAGCACAGAGAAGCTGCTGCCCCTCGGGCACCCAAGATGAAGGAAGGAAACCATTGAAAATGGTGGCCTTCAGAAGCTAGGCAAGGACCCCCCCCCAATAAAGCCTCCAGAAGAAATAACTGACTAGACCTATTTTAGGCTTTTGAGTTTCAGAACTATGAGGCAATAACTCAATAAACCATATTGCCTTAAATCACTGAATTGGTGGTAATCTGTTGGAACAGCAATAAGAAAATAGTTCAGTAGTATAATCACATGATAGAGTTCTATAAGCAATGATAATAAAATGTAACCACTATTTACAAATTAAGACTTCCATAAACTGAACCAAAAAAAGACAGGTAAATGACTGTGCAATCTCTCTCTCTCTCTCTCTCTCTCTCTCTCTGTGTGTGTGTGTGTGTGTGTGTGTGTGTGTGTGTGTGTGTAAATCAAGTGAGCGATCAATGAGGTTGAATATCTGGCTAGTGATTTCTCTTGGCTGATGCACTAACTGAAATGAAACCTGAGTACTCCTGGCATTTCCTGATTTTCTCTTTCTTTTTCTTTTTTTTTTTTTGGTTTTTCGAGACAGGGTTTCTCTGTGGTTTTGGAGCCTGTCCTGGAACTAGCTCTTGTAGACCAGGCTGGTCTCGAACTCACAGAGATCCGCCTGCCTCTGCCTCCGGAGTTCTGGGATTAAAGGCGTGCGCCACCACCGCCCGGCCTGATTTTCTCTTTCTTAATCTGAATGTGTTTTATGCAGATTGGTTCAGATTCTGGAAATTTACAAGCTGAGCATATTTGTGTGCTTAGTGTACATTATATGTCATTAAAAATCCATTTTGTGTGTATGAATTCTAAATTTGATTTCTTTTTCTTGCATTGTATTTTCCTCTTCTTTGTTTCAGGGATATCATTTACCTGGAGTTGAAGATTTACTATCCTAGAACCCCTTGTTATGAAGGATCCCATTGCTGATAAATTCAAAGATGGATTCTCTCCAAAGATAAACACATTATAAAATTCCTCAAATGTAATCTGAGTGGAATCACCGAAGGGCTGTTTTCCCCCCACCCCCACACACAATTCAGAAATAAACTCTCTACTTAGTACTGTGGTCAAACATACACACACACACACACACACACACACACACACACACAGGCAGGGGAGAGGGAGGAGAGGGAGAGAGGGAGGTAGAGAAGGATATTCCTATTCCTTTCATGATACTCTGATCTTTGGTTAATTTTAGCAGCTTATACTTAAAACCAGCCTTGGACTCCATGAAGATTGAAGAGTGCAGAGAGACTGTAAGAACCCGAGGGGCTGGGGAGGACCACTGCCAAGCCATGTCTTCCAGACATGATATGGCTGCTGCACTTGGGAACCCTACAGCAGCTGGGGCTACCTACAGAGGACCTGCCCAAGCCAAGTTGGTTAATATTCCTGCATGGAGGAGGGGCTCACAGGCCTCACCCCTAGCAGAGGAGCTGTTGGCAGCTGATGGCTACTGAAAGACAGAGAGTCAGTTTTCCTCAGGAGTGTGTCCCTGGTAGGTGGAGCACACTCCAGTGCATGACTCCCACACTCACGAGTATATGGGCTGCACAAATTGAGCTGTGTGTGTTATTAAAAAAATAAGAAAAGAACATGAAATTGTGGAGAGGATGTGCCGTTGGGGGTCCAGGAGGGAGTAAAGGGTAGATCTAATCAAAACATGTTGACATATGTAGGGAATCGTCAAAAGAATGAATACAATATATGAAAGGACTTGGAACCCTTGGGCCATTGAGTTGTTTGTTGATTTTCCACACATTTTCCATAAAACTCCCTTGCAAGCGGTAAGATTTGATGGTTTCTAGTTCCTAATTTGCTCTATTACTTAGCTTCTGCTCCAGCCAAAGACTTGGGAGTTTCAAGCAGCAGGCCTGCAGGAAGTACCCAAGCCCAAACAGCAATGTTTCTGAATACAAAGTAAAAGCCCAAACAGCCCTACCTAGTTCCTAGAACTACTATAACACACTGCCACATGTTTGCTGGGGCTAAGGTTATAGAATTCTTCTTTTGCAGTTCTAGAGGTCAGAAGTCCCAATTTAAAGTTCCACCCTGGCCATACTCTCTCCAAAGGTTCTAGGAGAGGCAGAGCTTTGCTGCCCGAGGTTTTGGTGGTAACGAATGTTCCTTGTCTTGTGGTATTATAACTCCAGCATCTACATAGGTCTTTATACTGCCATCTCGTCTATGTGTCTATCTCCTTGTGTCCCCTCTTCTTCTTCTTCTTCTTCTTCTTCTTCTTCTTCTTCTTTTTTTGGTTTTTCGAGACAGGGTTTCTCTGTAGCTTTGGAGCCTGTCCTGGAACTAGCTCTGTAGACCAGGCTGGACTCGAACTCACAGAGATCCACCTGCCTCTGCCTCCCGAGTGCTGGGATTAAAGGCGTGTGCCACCATCGCCCGGCCGTGTCCCCTCTTCTTACAAAAGCACCAGTCTTCAGCCTTATGGCCCACTCTCGCCCTGCACGATCTCATCCTGACCTTTAAGTATAAATTATGTCCGCAAATATCTTTTTTTAAAACAAATAATGTTACATTTTGAAGTTCTGTCTGGACATGAAATTGGGCAATGCTACCAACTGAATTTTAAAAAAAAATGAGTTATTTTTGTCAGTTGTATTGGTTCAGGAAAACGGTATAGGTTTTTTTTCTCAGAAGGAGAAAAATAATCAGAACTTAAACTATGCCATAAAGCTGAAAGGCCTATTTAAGATGATGTCCCAGGGAACCCAGAGGCCACATGAAACACCTCCTAGCATGTAACGAGGCTGCCACCTGCACGGGAATCCTAAAGTGGAGGGCTGTGGCTATCAACAGAAGAGGGGGGGCATATATTTTAATGATCCAGGGCTGTCTAATTTTGTTTGTTTTCCTATAGAAAGGCTCCACCCTGACAAAATTGGAAGAATGGGGGCAGGGGTTAGAAGGAAGGGCAGAAGCGGAAAAGGAGGGGAAAAGGGGAGAGTTGAGGAGAACTTGAGGGAATGGGATAGTCAAGTTGGAGGAAGGGCAGATATGAGAGCAAGGAAAGAGATATCTTTTTTTAAAAAAAATTATTTATTTATTAATTAAAGATTTCTGTCTCTTCCCCGCCACCGCCTCCCATATCCCTCCCCCTCCGTCAATCAACACCCCCTCTCTCATCAGCCTGAAGAGCAGACTGGGTTCCCTGCCCTGTGGGAAGTCCAAGGCTGAACACAGCAGACAATGAGGACTGCTGAGAAGTCAAGAACAATGGCACTGGGTTTTGATCCTACTGCACATACTGGCTTTGTGAGAGCCTAGGCTGTTTGGATGTTCACCTTACTAGACCTGGAAAGAGATATCTTGATTGAGGGAGCCATTATGGGGCTAGCAAGAAACCTGACTCTAGAAAAATTCCCAGGAATCCACAGGAATGACCCCAGCTAAGACTCTTAAACAATAGAAGACAGGGTGCCCGAACTGGCCTTGCCCTGTTGTTAGGTCGATGATTATCTTAAATGTCACTATAGAACCGTCATCCCATGACAGATGGAAACAGAGGCAGAGACCCACATGCGAGCACTGGACTGAGCTCCCAAGGTCCAGTTGAAGAGTAGAAGGAATGAGAATATGAGCAAAGAGGTCAAGACCATAAAGGGTTCATCCACTGAAACAGTCTACCTGAGCTAATGGGAGCTCACCAACTCTAGTGGGACAGGGAAGGAACAAGCATAGGTCCAGACTAGTCCCTCTGAATGTGGCTGACAGTTGTATGGCTGGGGCAGATTGAGGGGCCACTGGCAGTGGCATTGGGATTTGTCTCTACTGCATGTACTGGCTTTTGGGGGTCCTGTTCTCTTTGAATGGATTCCGTGCTAGGCCTGGATGTGGTGGGGGCCTTGAACTTTCCACAGGGCAGGGTGCCTTGGCCTGTCTTAGGTGGGGTGGGAGGATGTGTAGAGGAAATGGGAGAAGGGGAGGGAGTGGGATTTGTATTGGCATTTTTAAAATATTTAATTAATAATGAACTAAAAAAAGAAACCATCTAGAAGAGACTCTGTCTAAAATAGATAGAATACCCCAATATAAGACTTGGGGATGGCAATGTAAGGACCGAGTATCAAGACATCTTTCCTGTCAGAAAGTTCCATTTCGATCTGCCCTCTCAGCAGAAGATTGACACAGTTCTTTCATAAGATAAATTTTGGGAAACTCATGCGGCTGCCCACACTACCGAATCATAATAGTATAGCTATGCAAAAATATTTCTTTTTCATTGTCCTTGCTACTTGGCTTAACCCTGAAAGGGTCAGAAGGCTCAGAGGTTCCATGATCCCCACTCCAAAGCAGGCTGCTGGTTGATACAGACCAGAGCAAGGTAAAGGTAAGAAGTTGTAACTTAGAATATGGAATATGGTAGCTATAGCAACAGATGGAGGCATATGCTGGATGCTTTTCTATTGTTGATTTTTTTTTTCAAGTCAGAGTCTCACTATGTAGCTCTAAGCCATCCTGAAACTCACTATGCAGACCAGGCTGGATTTGAACTCACAAAGATCCTCCTCCTTCTGGTTCCTGAGTACTGGGATTAAAGGCATGTGCCACTATGCCCATTTTTCTTTGGAGGCTGTTCTAATGCCCAGTAATTGGGGAGAATTTTATCATATGACAATGACTGGAAAACTATGAAGTCTGTCAAAGAATGTATCTGGAGGCAGTGAAGTCGCATTAAATGGTCGGGGAAAATAACGGAGGGAATGACTTTTGTTGTTTAATGCTGTATTCCATAGACTTCCACTCCATCACCAGGATACTTTCACAAGGTAGTTTTGTCCATGTTTGTAAGAAAAGAGACACCGTCTGTTATGAGAGATGTCATCATAAAGATTTGTCTCACATGCAATTTTGGTGGCTACTTATGGGTTTACAGGTGAGGAAAAGACATGGTAGTCAATAAATAATGAAATGGCACAATGGTTCTGTGTTTGAGCACATTATTTAATAGTAGCTATAGATATAAGTGATAGCTCATAGTTTTTCTCTCTCTCTGCTAAGAAGTTTGTATGAACTCCACATTTTCCAGTCTTGAACCTGACAACTGTCGGTTTGTTAACTATATCCTGTTTGAAAAACCTTTTTCAGACTATTGACTTAGCACAGAGATTAATTGCACACCTGTTGGAACGTGGTCCATGAATGGAGCTGTGTGAGGAAATTTCTGAGAGCTTGGGTGATAACGCCAAGGACATGAGGCGCAAGTCTTGTAACCTCTGCTTCCTATAACAGGGGTTGTTCTTGGGATGTACTTTTGTGCCCCTTCCAGGTGTAAGAAGTAGAAGTGGGTTTATTTCAGATTACCCAACATCTTACTTTTGTTCTTCAAAGACATTTCCAAGCAGGAGTTGTCCCTGTGACTCTACAAAGCTTAAACTCATGTGGCCTTTGCTTATTTGACCTTGTTTATCAGAATACCCTTCAGAGTATAAATTGTCTGGTGCTGTGAGTACATTTGCTGGTTGCATGAGACTTTAGTCTGCCTCAATTTAAGGTCCCCACTTCCCAGGTTCCCGCTACCAACTAGAGTGGCAACTCACACCCATGGATGTTGTTCATTTATTGCTACACTTTTCACAATTACTAGGAAATGGAGTAAGCATGGGTTTCCACCAACAGGTGAATAGATAAAAAGTGGGATCCATATAAACAATGGAATTTTATTTAGCTGGAAAAAAAAACCAGAATCATGACACTTGCAGGGGAAACAGATGGGAACGGGAAACCACTATGTTAAGTCAAATAAGCGAGACCCAGAAAAGCCAATGCCACAGCCTAAATTTAGTGTGTGTGTGTGTGTGTGTGTGTGTGTGTGTGTGTGTGCAGATCATAAAACTAAAACAGCTGGGTGGTGGTTGTGCACACTTTTAATCTCAGCACTCGGGAGGCAGAGACAGATGGATCTCTGTGAGTTCGAGGCCAGCCTGGTCTACAGAGCTAATTCCAGGACAGGCTCTAAAGCTACACAGAGAAACTCTGTCTCAAAAAAAAAACCAAAATAAATACATACAGATAAATAAAACTAGAACAAGGATAATAGAGGGGAAGGGAGAAAACAAGAGGAAAATGAGAGGGTAATGGAATATATTGGACATATTGCAGAATATGAAAAGGACCCAGCAGTGGAGAAGAGAAAGGATGAATTAGAACAAAATAGAAACATGCATATGTACAAATATTCCCAAACTTTGTATGTCAACTTAGAAAATAATTGAAAATGGACTTACTACCCTCTCTGGGAAAGTAGGGGCTCTGTGTTTCTCCTCACTAATTGCAATGTGCAGATCAGCATCTGAAAGGTAAAAGCAAACAAAGGAAAACACCCAATACTGGGAATCAAAACAATGAACCAGTTTACCGGAACAATATACCAGAGCAACTGAAGTCACGTAACGCTCAATACAAATGGCATTCTTTCACCACCAGCAACTGACACTCTGCAATGCCTGGATGACAGTTCAAGTTCCTGTAAATCCTAGAAGCAACAAACCCCTCATTTCTTCAAGCTTTCAAAAGAAATCAACACACCCGTACAGAGCGGCCAATCATTTTAAATAAATCTTACAATTAAAGCCATTGTCATGCTGACATATGTGATAATTAAAACTGGTACTTAAATTGTATCTTTTGCCATTTATTTGAAAATCAGCATTGCTTCATTTTTTTTTATTATTTATAAGAAGAACTGAACTCTCTCTCTCGCGCGCGTGCACGTGTGTGTGTGTGTGTGTGTGTGTTTGAAACAGGGTTTCAGAGTGAGGTGCCGTCTAAAACTTGCTATGTAACTTGGGCCAGTCTCAAGCTATGATCTTCTTGTCTCAGACTCTTGAGTATCAGGATTGCAAATATACGCTACCATGCCTGTCTTTGATTAAAAACAAAATAAAGTACACAAAAACTTCCCCTTCCTTTATTTTTGTTTTATATATGGGTAAATTTTGCTTGTATGTATATGTGTACCATATGCATGCAGTGCCCATGGAAGCCAGAAGAGGGCACCAGATCTGCTGGGACTAGAGCTACGGCCTGCTGTGACACACAAGTGTGGGTGCTGGGCATCAAACCCAGCCCCTCCCTGAAAGAACAGCTGTTGCCCTTAACCACTGAGTCACCTCTCCAGCCCCTCATTTTCTTATCAAATAGGAAAGCTAGTTGTTTGATTCATGATACACTCAGCACATTCTACTTCTAAGCAGTTTGCTTTAAACTAGGATAATTATCAGAGGTATTAATGGCTCATTACTTGTTCCATGTTTTTAATTTTTTGTTAAACTGTTTCATAAGGTATATATTGCTCATAATCTTTCCCCTTCCCCAACTCCTCCCAGACTCTCTCCACCTCCATAGCCATCCATGTTTATGCTCTTTTTCTCACTCCTTGTTTGTTGTGGTTTCAATTTTAAAAACATTTCTCATGAAGTAAAAAAGGCATCTATTAATATTGAGGGGGTATGATTCAACTGTACAACAATAACACAAGCATCTAGGACTTCCCAGGATAGGAGCAAGTGGAGAACTGCCGTAAATGGGCTACCCATGCATGCTTAGCACTGCCGGGGCATAAGTGATGATGATGATGATGATGGTGATGATTCAACTGACACTTAAGTTATACTTCATTTCCAGCATAGCATCCGCAAAGTTGTATTACTACGATGTCATCTAATATGGTATATTTTGTTTCTGAAAAACGGATCTAGTATTGGGCAGGCTTGACCTAGTGCCCCCCCACCCGAGGTCCAGCACAACAGGGAGCCTCACATACATGCTTCCCAGAGAGTGCATCCCGGGGCTGCTTTGCAGCTCTGCTGGCAGCACAGGAACTTCCCGTCCACGAAGAAGCCACTGTGGTACTTGATCAGCAGGTGGGGGTTGCCCCGTATCTCTGAAGGGCAGGTAGGAAGGATACAAGACATAAGAAGACGTTGGCCCAAGAGATGCAATGCAGTAAGTAAATACTATAATCTCAGTACAATGACGATCTCCTTTACCAGCAACTAGGGTAAGACCCGGTGTCCACCAGAGCAGTTGTCTTTCATTCAGGAGTTAATAAACCCAAAAAATAAATAGAAACCACAGCAGAATAATGTATTCTTCTGACACGAAAGAGTTAGGAAAATGCATACGCTGGCCATCTTACCATTAAGATTTTACAAATACGTCTGTCAAGGTCCCGAATGGCTTACAATGCCTGATGTTCTTTGGTGGCAGAAGTAGGCTGGGTGGTAGGACTAGATCTTAAGAAAAAGGACTTCTGACTTCCTAAGGTTTTCATTCGGAAAGGTTTCAAAGGCACAGTAAGACCTGTGCAGCATATCCTCCTGCCGCCCTTTCCTTAGATCTGCCAGTGATAACTATATTTGTTGCTGCTTCTTTCTCTTCATTACACACATTATTATTGTTCTAAAATTTTTTTTTTGATTTTTGAGACAGGGTTTCTCTGTGGTTTTGGAGCCTGTCCTGGAACTAACTAGCTCTTGTAGACCAGGCTGGTCTCGAACTCACAGAGATCCGCCTGCCTCTGCCTCCCGAGTGCTGGGATTAAAGGAGTGCGCCACCACCGCCCGGCTGTTCTAAAAATTTGTCACTATTATTCACTTAATAATTTAGAGTCAACAGCACATATATGGCTTGAATAATGTTATACATAAATATTTCCCTACACAGTTTCTATTACCAAGGGTATTTATGCTCTTACTTAACTATAAAGCAAATTGTCAAATTCTGGAAATTGTATATATATATATATCTCATATTTGATTTTCTCCAATTGTTCCAATAATGTTCTTTAAATGACTTATTCTTTCCAATTAAAGTTCTTATCCAGTATTATGTATGAAATTTAGTCATTGAGTTGTCTTTGACCTGGAATAGTTTCTCATCTTTTCTTGGTCTTTCATGAATTTGACATCCTTATTCTAAGGAATAAATCATTTGGGTGGGGTGGAAAGCTGTCTATTTTTTTGAGATAAGGTCTCATGTATACAAATCTAGTCTTGTCTCACCATGTAGCCAAAGCTGACACTGAACTCTTGATTCTCCCGCCTCCATCTCCCAAGTGCTGGTACTACAGGACTCTGCCACCACACCTAGCTAGGATGTGTGTGTATTTGAAAAGAGGAGCTAAGGGTGCAGTTTGGAGGTAGAACTCCTGCCTAGCATGCACCAAGATCCAGGCTCCACCTCCAGCACTCAGAAAACAAACCACGAGAATAAGGCAATGCCAATCAAAACAAATTAAATTCTAATACTGGAATACAGTACTGTATCTATAAGAAATTAGCATCTTTTGCAATATAGCTCAGAAACCTCTGAGGATTTAGTCGAGAAGAGCTCAAGAAACATCTTTAGGTAGGGAGGGCTGGTTCTGTGTGTCACCTCAACTCTTCCTTCTTGATTTTATGTTCGTCTAGAAAATTCCTAACTTTGAACCCAGAGAGTTCTAGTCCTCCTTTATCAACCTAACTTAAGGAATAATAATAATATTGTACTGGGTGACTGGGGAGGTATAAGGTAATACACATAAATATATAAGATAATATACATAAATTGCCTCAGATGGTTCAGCAAAAAGTGGGTTTCAGTAGACATTCATTTTATACAGCTCAGTTCAGTTTAGCTGAAAATGCCAGCACCAAGGAACAACTTTACTGGTGAGCATTAAAGGTAATTATTATAGAATGAGTTAAGATTATAAAATGTTAATTTCTGAGTTTAGGCCCAAATGACCATTGGACTTCCCCAGGCACATTGCAAGCTTTCTTCCTGTCTACACTCTTGCTCTTTAATGTGTTACCAGCTAAAAGGATTTAGTTTCCTGAGTAACTAATCCTCCAACCAAGTCCCAAAATCCACATTGCAATAATCCCGATACTTTATGATGACATTAAAAAATTGTATGTGACTTTATGTGTTTTCCCCACACATGCATCAGTTAGCCTACATACTACGCCTGAGGGCTGCTGTTCTGGCTATCATGACTCTTACAGAGTTAAAAGGACTGATATAGTTTAAATTGGTGGAAGTTCGTAAGAGGAAATATTTAAGTGAGAGAACCTAAGTCTTGCCACAGCAAGTAAGTTTTTGTTAACTTGATGACAGGCTCACCCACCTTGCCTATCCCCCAGCACAGAGACTGGAAAAAACAAACACAGATACTGGTTTTTCAATGTCTATTGTACATAGAGATAGATATAGGCCCTACTTCTGAGAAATGTAGCCTGAGTGGAAGTTTTCAGCAGGGGGCTTCTCAAACAGCTTAGAACCTTTCAGTTACCTGTAAGAATGGTAAAACAGAAAGCTAGAAGGAATCTGTGTCCTTGACATCCTCGAATGGTTGCCTAATCCCAAGACTGCCTGCCTCCCACTCCCTGGGAGAGAGAAAGCACAAACGGATCTGTTCCAGTGGGTTGCTTGATGTCTTTTCTCCTCCAGTACATAGCACTGCTAACAGGCACACACTTTCTGCTGTGCAGACAGTGACACCAGGAATGGAGACACAACAGCTTCATGAGGACCAAGATGCATTGTTGCTTGTCTCTTCCTTCTCCTCTTCCATCCATAAGCCATCATGTGTGTCACCCCAAAGCCTGAACACCACATAGAGTTCCAGAAGGACCCACAAATGGACACACAGGGGTTACACAAGAGCTGAATATAGGGAGTATCTATATGACAGCCGAGTCCTAGGCGGTTCACCCAAAGATGGCTGGCTGGAAAGAAAACCTTAGAGCTCCCCCTGAAAGTGTCATTATAACCACAATGGCTGATGTTTAAGAGGCTATTTTCATGATATTTAGAGTCACTCATACATGTAATTGCTATAGGAGATAGGAAATATGTTCCTCATTTTACAGGTCAGGAAAGCCCGGATGTGCTACATAAAACAGATGACAGCCAGGTTTGCCTGGCTCTGGCAGAGGTACCCGTCTCACTTCATTGAGATGATTGTGGGTAATGAGGGAAGCATCTCTCCTTAAGGACCACTTCACCACTCCACAAAACAGATTGCTTAGTCTTTTCCCATAAAGGGAAAAGGAGGACCTATGTGTGGGAAAGGATGTGTTTGCATAGATGTGAGCTGGCTGTGTGCAATCTGAGGTGTGCTGAGATATTGCCATAATCGAAAATAGAAGCATAACACATCAAAATAAAAGCAAAATCTTCCTCTGTCTAGGGTGTTAAAACCTGAAGCTGCACCAGTAGAGTCATTGATTTAATTTACGTGTTATCCTCACAACCTGACCCTTTTGAAAGCAAAAAGATTGTGGGGAAATATCAAGGTGCTAAAATAATAACAATTCTCTCCCAAGTTCCCACAGCAGCTGAAAAATCACAAATAAAATCTTCATTAAATCCTCAGTTTGGGCCAAAGATATAGAGACTTAGCTTGCAATATTGTGATTTAAAAAGCTGGGCTCAGGTAATTCCATTTTGAGACTCCCATTAACAAGGTTTGTGGCATTTGTCTGTTTTCTTTTAAACTTGTGTGAAAAACAGAGACTAATAATAGCCCTGTCCAACGTTGTCAAGAGGATTACGCAAGTAGATGCAACATGTTCTCGACAGAGTAGCTGGCCAGTGGTTAAGTGCTCAGTACAATTGACGCTGTCTCTGAACACTGAAAATAGAATCTCGAAAGGACTGGAATGGGAAGCCCAGCTGGTCTGCCGCTCCCTGGTCCCACCCCATGCCCCACCTACTGCCAGGAAATTCACAATAGCTATCTCTGTGCTCAGTGTGAAAGCGAAGGTGAAACCCTCTCGCTTCCTGCCGGTAACACTGAGAACACAAAAGTATGAATACAGCCCATCCCAGGAGAGCAATTCAAGCCTTCGTGAATGGCATTTTGTTACCTTTCTTCAGTGCTTTCAACCACTGACTTCGGCTGTCTTCGTTTGAGGCATAGACGTAGAGAAGCCCATCTTTATACACAATCTGGAAAGAAAAAAAGCAGTGAATTTTGCTGCAAGTGTTTCATAGTTCAGTCTGGTGTACCAGTAAATTTTTATATTATCAGAAATACTTTTTTTCATATACTAGCTTTGGAATTATATTTAAAAAGACTACAGGTGTTTTTAAAATCTTATTTATCTGAATATGTTTTTATGTCAGACCTTCAGAACTTGGGGGAAATCACAGCAATGAAACACAGAATGGTGGTGAACATTAAAGCCTCATTTGGGTTGCCCTGGACCAGGAAGTATTATAATATGGTAAATCACTTATTTCTTAGGAGTCCTCTGGTCCATCTTCCTAATCAGTAGGCAATTCCTTTCACAGCTAGGACATCTTTAACTTCTGTATCCTTAGAAAGTATTTCCAGGGATGGGCTATCCTATCCTTTGCTATGCTGTATTCCCCACATTCTGATCAGTTTACATTTGGGTTTATATTCAGGAAAACTCTGTCTCCTTGTTAAGTCAGTCTGTCACATTGGGTAACCTCTCAGATGCTCCACACTGTGTTTTCTTATCCCTTATGTTTATGGAGCACTTGTTTATGGGACTGGAGAGATGGCTCAGTGAGTAAGAAAAGCAAGGCGTGCTCCTGTGCAGGCCTGTAAGCCCACTGCTCTGGAGGTCACAGTGAGGAAGATTATTGGGGCCCCGGGATTAGAAGGAGACCCAGGCTCAAGGGAATAAGGTGCCTCCACACACAAGACACTGCATGCCCTCCTCTTGCAACCACAAGCACACGTGCATGCCCCAGTTTGACAATTGCAATGCTCTCTCCAGATCAGGCTTATTTTACAACTGGAAAACAACACTACCACTTAGGAAAGATCTTCTAGAAGCTGGGCGCATCCTACATTAATATTTTTACTTTCATTTATATATGATATATGTGAGTGTGCTTTTTTTACTAGCAAATGAGCAACTATACTTAGAGATGAGTTGTGATATATCTTTATGGGTATGCAGATGCGAGTAGTGGGCTAGGACGTCTGTAGGGCTGGAAAACCTCTGTGACTTTGGGTAGCCTCTGTTCCCACTGTGTTTGAGGTCACCTTTATGGGCAACCTCTCCCTTGGTTTTCCCCAACTGGTTGATAGTTTCGTCGTAGGTCTGATTCAGCTCAAAACCCCTTCACTGAGACATTCTCTGTAGCATGGAATTTTTGTTTTCTTTTTGGCTTTTTGAGATAGGGGTTTCTCTGTGTAGCCCTGGCTGTCCTGGAACTCACTTTGTAGACCAGGCTGGCCTCGAACTCACAGAGACTCGCCTGCTTCTACCTCCCGAGTACTGGGATTAAAGGTGTGTGCCACCACTACCTGGCTACTTGGAAGTACTTAAAATTCTTTGGGAGGTCTGTGGGGCCAGTGAGATGACTCGGAAGTAAGGTTGCTTGCCACCAAATCTGATGACCTGATTTGATCCACTGAAGTCACATGGTGGAAGGATAGAGCTGCCTCCTACATGCTGTCCTCTGACTCCACATTCATGCTGTGGTGTGTGAGAGCATGTGTGCGCGTGCGTGCACACACACACACACACACACACACACACACACACACACATGGGGGGAGGGGAACCCCCACACAAATAAATAAATGTTAAAAAGAAAGAATTCTAGCGGTTGTGGAGGTTGCTACTTGATTAAGAGCACTGACTACTCTTTTTTTTATTTTTATTGAGCTCTACATTTTTCTCTGCTCCCCTCCTTCCCTCTCCCCTCCCCCCTTTAGCTCTCCCCCAAGGTCCCCCAAGCTCCCAATTTACTCATGAGATCTTGGAGCACTGACTACTCTTTCAGAGGACCTGGGTTCAAACACTAGCACCCACATGGGAGCTAACAATTGTCTCTAAATCCAATTCCAAGGGGAACTCTACACACAAAATGTACAAACCTATAAAATGAAAATAAAAATCTCAAAAAAAACAAGAATTCCTTGGTGACAAACTAAAGTTGGTTAGCATGGTATGTAAAGCCCTGAGCAGTGCCGCACCACCTATTTCTCTGGGCTGGTCTTTTTCTGTCTCTTATTTCATCCTACAGTGCCTTTGCACTTGCTGTTTAGCTCTGTCGCCACCTCCAGATTTGCTAGGTAAAGTCTATTTGTCCTTCCCAACATGAGAGCCCCCTCCAACAGAACACTTTCCTGACTTCTTACAGCAAGGAGGAAAGCACAAGGAATGTACTGCACCCCCTTCATCTTAATCAACACTCATTTTGTTACTGTATTAAGATGGTCTATTTTACCACCACCCTGGAGACAAGTTCAGGGCAGGGTTGGTACTTAATCCCACATAGCTTCTTGCTTGCTCTTATCCAAGAGAGAGACACCCCACAGAGTTCCATAAAAGAGAATGGTAAAAAGTTTAAGCAGGTCAGACCAGGATCGCTTAGATTCCCCTCTTGCTTCCCTTGGAGGGAAGCAGGTTGGCCAGTTCTGATAAACTGCCAACACCCACCTGGGCGTATTCCAAACATTATCATTGTCTCAAGGGATAATTTTGCAATATTGTTATGTTCCTGTGCTTAGTGAGCTAATACTAGAAGATATTAAAGAAACCAAACCTCCTTTTTACCTGAAATGGGTACTGTCTCTCCACGGGGGTCTGCTCCTCTAGGTTGACTTTTTCCACACATCTGATTTTCTTAATTTCTATCGATCCTTTTCGGCTTCCTCGTTTCTGAATTCAAAGGCAAACCAGAAGCTATATCATGCTGGTGTGTCACGGTGAGCAGGGCAAAGTGTACAGCTAAAGGTAATGTCTGGAGGGAGACGAGGGGATGTGGAAGCCAATGGAGACACATGCCCTGTTGCTCCATGGCTGTCACAACCATGTTTCTACACTGTGAACACATACACACATGCTTCTCCAAAAGCAAGTATCTGAGTGACAGTTAGCAATCTTATTTGAGAATCGTGGAATATTTTTTTAAACCACCTGCCAAGTGGTTAATAGAGATATCAAAGTTTAATGGCATGAAGCAGCTTTACTTGGTTTCAGGTTTTTGATGTTGTTTTGCTTTTTCTCCCAGGATCAAGTTCTCAAAGGCACAGAGCTGTTGTTATTTCCTCTACTGTTTTAAGGCAGCATTCCACATTCTCAACACTATTACTAACATTTGAGGATAGTTGAGATGGAGCAAGGACAGAGATAAGAGCAAAGAAAGAGATATTTTGGTTGAGGGAGCCATTATGGGACTAGCAAGAAACCTGGCACTAGAGAAATACCCAGGAATCCACAAGGATGACCCCAGCTAAGACCCTAAGCAATAGAGGAGAGGGGGCCTGAACTTGCCTTGTCCTGTAGTCAACCTGATGACTGTCTTAAATGTAACCATAGAACCTTCATTTAGCAACTGATGGAAACAAAGGCAGAGACCCGAAGAGGAGCACTGGACTGAGTTCCCAAAGCCCAGTTGGAGTGGAAGGAATGAGAATATGAGCAAGGAGGTCAAGACCATGATGGGGACACCCACTGAAACAGTTTGCCTGAGCTAATGGGAGCTCACCAACTTCAGCCAGACAAAGAAGGAACCAGCATAGGACCAAACTTGTCCCTTTGAATGTGGGTGACAGTTGCATGGCTGGGGCAGACTGAGGGGCCACTGGCAGTGGCACCAGGATTTATCCCTACTGCTTGTACTGGCTTTTGGGAACTCATTCTCTTTGAATGGATACCTTGCTCAGCCTGGATATAGTAGAGAGGGCCTTGAACCTTCCCCAAAGCAATGTGCCTTACCCTCTCTGAGGATTGGATAGGGTTGGGGTGGAGGAAAAGGTGGTGGAGGGAATGGGAGAAGGGGGAGGGAGAGGAAACTGGGATTGGTATGTAAAATGAAAAAAGATAGTTTGTTTTCTTTTAAAAAATAAAATAAATTTAAATAATTTTTTTAAAAAGCCATTTGCAGATGGCTAACTCTTGGCTGTGAGCTGTAGAGTACTTTAGCTGTGTCCCTCAGTCTCTAGCCAGTAGCTGCCAATAGTGCTTACCCCCATCCCCCAGAACCATTGTTTCAGCTGAGGTATCGCTAGTCATTGTCCAGTGTCTCCCAGGGAACAAAAGTTACTCTAGATGAGAACAACTGTGTTAAAGACGTATTCTGATTGGTCTTAATAAAATGAATCAGTATTTTCCAAAACCCTTTTCTTGATCCATCATACTTTGGTAAAGAGAGGCAATGTAGCCCCACTGATACGAGGTGATCTTTACTCTTAGCTAGGAAACCTGGCAGCCTTTATTTTAATCAAGTACTTTGTGGGGACAGGGAAAAGATAATAAATAGCACGAAATAAGGAAGGAAAGCCTTACCATTTTGTCATATTCGTAGTAGGAAAGGCTTGTTTTGGTTAAAACAAAAAGGCGCTCCTTGTAATTATTGGGTGACATTTTCTTCTTTTGCTGTGACCTTTTGAGAAGCAGTTCTTCTAGAATGGATTTGGTATCCATATTGTCGTCCTAAAGAAAAGAAAAGAATTAAAATGATTGTAGTATCTAGCTAGGTTCAGGGAGAATAAAGAGCCAACTTCTATAAATAATATTGATTCAGGATGGTAGGGTAGACCACACCCCCCTCGTAGTGGTCTGAGATCTTTGTTCTGAGTTTGGAAGTGTGTGGGTTTTCTAGGTGTCTTACTCTGTATAAGAAAGTCACCATTTTTGCACCCTCCTCCTGACCACCTCCCCTAAATGGTCTCTCTTATCTAAACATCCTACACACATCTATTGTATTGAGCAGGAGACAGTAAAACCTTTTAAAACGTACTTCAAGATACATATGTATATATGTACATATATACACCAAGTATTAAGTCACCGATCAACTGAAATTTCCCTCCGTGCCTGTGGCCAGTGGTTTCGCCCTCTTATCCAAATCACCACAAAACACTGGGATCATTGTAAGGAACATTCACCAGCCCAGACCCTGACTGGGTCTTCTGACACAAAGGATGCAGGTATGATTAACGATATCAAGATTAAATCAAAGGAAGAAGATGGGTGAAAAGGAAACAAAAAGGACAGCAAAAATGAGCACATTTACAAAGGAAAAGCTTTTCCCTCCCGAACTATGGGAAACATTACGACCTAAGGTATGTATAAAGAAAAGGAAGTGTGCCCGTTCTCTTTCTACAAAGACACAGCAGCAGGTTTTATAAGGCTCTCTTTCTGCTATCAGGTCTGATAAAAAAAAGTAGTGATGTTAAGCCTTGGGCCACAGAGATAAACTTCATCTTCTTCTTTGCTTTGTGAGACTGCACCATTATTTACAATTAGCTGCCCAGTAGTTTAGATCTATCTTTGATGCTCTGAAGATAACTAAGTTTACTTACCTTAGTCTCTGTGGAGTTGGGCTACGTGTGGGTCTTAACTTTAACTCTCAAGCTGGAAGTGAAACGTTACTGCTTGGAGGCACCATCTCTCTCATACTTTCCCTGACTATGCCAGGGCCATGCATTAAAACAGAAAATATTTGCATCCTATTAACACTCTTGATCAGGAAGCACGCAAAGACATTGTTCCCCAGGATGGAGGCAGGTGCAGGCCGGAAGTAAACCCAGCCAGCCACTAGCAGGTCCTTCCCACGAGCCCAGGAGTGTGCCCCAGCAGGTAGTAGACAGAAAAGAGACTAAGAAACACGGTGAAGGTTCAATAAATCACCACCAATCGTTCCTCCTGATATAGACCGAACAACTTCAAAAGTGGGAATTAAGAAGAACAGTTCTTTCAATGCGTGTACATTGATCTGGAGGCTATGCCTACCGAAAAATGTTCTCAAGGACATTGTTCGACTGCTGGACAGACTATAGGAAGTCCTGCTCGTTAAATAGAAGTAAATATTGCACACACGGCTCTGGATATTGTTTTATGAATTTTTTTAAAGAAAGGGATAATCTTTAGTGAGCATAGCATGGGGTACGGTGATGATTCAGTGGGTAAAGGCATTTGCCACGCAAACCTGATGTCCTGAGCTTTATCTCTGAATCTCATATAAACGTGGAAGGAAAAAATTGATTCCACATGTATGTCTTGTGACTACCACCATACATAAACATACATGCACATGCGCGTGCACACACACACACACACAACCACAGCTCACAATGTTTTCAATGTAAAATGAAGTTGGGTGGGTAGAAAGTTAGGTAAGAGCTGGGAGGAGTTGGGGGAGGAAAACTAATATGACCAAAAAAAAGAAAAAAGTTAAGTCAAAAAAAATTTTTTTTTAAATGGAAAAAATGCCAGGAATAGTGGCACATGCCTTTAATCCTAGCACTTTAATCCCAGCACTTGGGTGGTAGAGGCAGGCAGATCTCTGTGAGTTTGGGGTCAGCCTGGTCTATCAAGTGAGTTCAAGGGCAGCCAGGGCTATGTAGTGAGACTCTGTCTTCAATTTTTCCTTTGTTCACTGCTTTGTTTTGTTTATTTGTTTCTTTGTTGTTGCTGCTGTTGTTTTGTTTTTTGAGACAGAGTTCCGCGATGTAGCCCTGGCTGTCCTGGAACTCACTTTGTAGATCAGACTGACCTCAAACTCATAGATCCGCCTGCCTCTGCCTCCCAAGTGCTGGGATTAAAGGTGTGAGCCGCCAACGCTGGGCTCATTTTTTTTTTAAAGAACAAAAGTAAGATTAGTTTTTTTCTGAGCAGTGTGGACACTGTGTCTTTGCCTGATGTTGGGCGACAGGGCAGAGGTGAGGCTGGAGTATGGGTGGCAGGACCTGAGTAAGGAGGTGTGACACCTCCCCTCCACCTCTGCTGCCACAGAAAGTTCCCCTCGTGCTCCTTTTGCTATCCAGAGTCTGTGGCAACAAGAGAATAGTCTTGGAAATTATGAAGCGCTAGTTTTATAAGTTAGAGACCCTTGGTAAGGTAGGCAAACACTAGGCGTAGCTGCAGATACATAGTTCGTATCTTACTCATATTCTACACATTAAAAAATGTTAAAAGCTCCACCCAATTTTCTCACGCATGTCCAGCTAAAACAATATTTCTCAAAGCCACCTGCTAACTTGGCGGAGCTGATCAGAACCCAGTTTTAAATAAACAGGGCTTCACGTCCAGGATAGGATGCAGTTTTCCCCAGCACTGCATGATGGTTTGCATACTGTGATGTTTATCGGGCTTTCATGTACTTCACAGTAAAGATGGGACTGCAAGGAATTTTATATGAAGGAGTAAGAAAAAGAATTAAAAATCCTCCATATATGAGAGGCCAGAAGAACAGGAAGTAGAAAAGAAGGCTATCGGGCCTTCAATTACATTTGACAATAGATTTCTAAGAATGTATAGGACTTCAGCTCTAGACCAGCTATAACTTGTCAAATTTCAACATCGTGGCTCCTTTAAACTTGCCCCTGGTGAATGTTTCTTTTTCTTTTTCCACTTAAACATCACATGATGTACAAAACTGAAAACTCGAACAAAGAAAAAGACGAATGTATCTGTAGATTCTTTTCTTTTCGGATATGTAGACATGCTTGCTTACTGTCATTGAGATGGGTTCCCATTCTGTTCATGGGGTCTGTCATGTGTGATTCTCAGGTACCAGGCATTAGGAGCCATGTGTCTCTGAAATTTGACCCACGAGGGCCAGGCCTTGAAGGCTATGATTCCTAAGGTGAACTCCCAGATCCTTTTCCAGCCCTGAAGTGCCCTGTTTTGATGAGTCACAATTTTGTCATCACCAGATTAGCTTCTTCTAACAAACGAACATGGTTTCTGCCCAGTGTTGGACCTTCCCTTCTGCCTCTACTCAGTTCCTTTCCCTCTGTGGACTTCTCTAGCTCCAAGGGCATCTGATGCCCTTGTGAGCACTGTACTCATGTACACTCCCATAATTAAAAAAAAAAGTAGGAAATCTTTTTTTGTTGTTTTTGTTTTTTGAGACAGGGTTTCTCTGTGGCTTTGGAGCCTGTCTTGGAACTAGCTCTTGTAGACCAGGCTGGCCTCGAACTCACAGAGATCCACGTGCCTCTGCCTCCCGAGTGCTGGGATTAAAGGTATGCGCCACCACAGCCCGGCGTAAATCTTTTTTAAAGCAAAGAGTTTTGCTGTGGCATTTTCACACATTTACCCTCCCTAATTCTATCCCCTTGCTTTCCTGCACACATACAGACTGCAGAGCTCTCCTGTGTTTCCCCAGCCTTTTCGACCTCTTCCTCTTCTTTCATAGTCTCCTTTCTAATCTCATGGCCTACACATACGATGTGTACATTTATACAGACATGTACATAGAAATTTAAATCTAGGTTTTGCAAGTAAGTTAAATGTGGTATTTTTCTTCTGAGTCTGTCTTATTTCTTTCATCCTGAAGATCCCCAGGTTCATCACTTTTCTGGAGATGTTATAATTTCATTCTTCTTTACGGCTAAATAGAAGTCCAAACTGAAGGCATTTCCCTGGTCCCACTTTCTACAGGAAGTGGTACTTGATTAATTTAAGAAATGCAACCTCACCGCCTTCTTTTTAGGATATCAGTTAAAGAGCTCAGGTACTCTTGACTCAAATGCCTGTTCAGTGACCTGTACCATCTGCTGTGCCCTGTACCATCTGCTATGCCCACCATCATTGAAAGGAAGTTCAGGCGGGAAGGCAAGAGTTAAAGAAGACCCTTTCATAATACACTGCCACATGAAACCTAGTTAGTATTAAGCAGCCATCTATTTCCATACTGAAGTGTGTGGAACTTGGCTGGACTCTCATGGTACCACTCACATAGAATAGAAACATCAATTTGCTTACCAAATAGTTCATGCTACCTATTTCCATAAGCATATCAAACTACACAGAGGGGAGGTAAAACCAAAACCGGATAGGAATAAATGCAATGAAACCAGGAACTATCCTATTATTAATTACGTACATAAAAGTTACATGTTGAATTACTATGGCTCACAACCACATGGTCGGTGAAGACCCACAAGGAAGTGATCTTGTGAGAGTAAGTGCAATGTGGAGGTTCTAGTTAGCACGCTTGACCTTCGGCCTGAAGGGTGTCTGACACTGAATGACTCTATTTCCAGAAATACAAGTCACCTTTCTATGACCCTGAGTGGCAATAAACATGAGATAGGTTTCATGACTAATTGCTATGTCAGGGTGTTTGTGCAGCAGTAGACTCCAAAGGTTCAAAGCTTATATGATCGCCATTTTCCAGCTGTAGCACCTGGACCAGGACCCTTCTAAGTTTTTCTATCCTGATTCATCAGATGAGATCTGTTACAGCCCTCTTGCATGAAGTCACTTAAATGAAGTACCTGGCATGCTAAGAGCACCAGGTCATAGTTTCAAAAAGAACTGTACATAGAGCTCATTCGTTTTACTATAAACAGCCTGAAGAAGAAAAAAATAAAAGAAAAAGATTATTGGGCTGGAGAGATGGCTCAGAGGTTGGGAGCATTGCCTGCTCTTCCAAAGGTCCTGAGTTCAATTCCCAGCAACCACATGGTGGCTCACAACCA